CCCGGCACACACTATATGACTCTGCGTCCTTCCACTGCTCCCCAGCGTGTCCCTCTCCCGTCTCCTCCTGCTTCCTCTCTTTCTTGCTCTTGCTGACCCGGAGTCTGACTCCCTTCGCGCTACCAGTCCTACTATCACGCGTCTCCTGGCTACTGTTGTCACTGACCCTTCTTTTCAGTCCGCTGCTGCGTCTTCCTTAGTTGCTGAGCTTGTCGACTTTGCTGCCACATGTCGTCTAGACTACGCCGCTAGCCTAGTTGCTGAATCTGAGTCTGTCTGTCCTCCGTCCGTCGGGGGTGAGTGTGCTTTTGGCACGGACGTTCTTGAGGACAGGCAGGAGGAGTTTGAGTGCTTCGCCGCTGCTTTACCTCATCTCGTGTCCATGCTAGTTGCCCCTGAGGGAGATCCGGATGCACCAGACATCCTGAATCCTCGATCGTACGCTGAGGCGATCAAGAGTCCCTACTCCTCTCAATGGCAGTCAGCCATGGACGCAGAGATGGCTTCCTGGAAGTCCACAGGTACCTACGTTGACAAGGTTCCCCCACCTGGGGCGAACATCGTCAGTGGTATGTGGATTTTCAGGGTGAAGCGGCCGCCGGGTTCTCCGCCTATCTTCAAGGCGCGGTACGTTGCACGAGGCTTCAGACAGCGAGAGGGAGTGGACTTCTTCCAGACCTTCTCCCCGACCCCGAAGATGACCACTCTTCGGGTTCTGCTGCACGTCGCCGCTCAGCGTGACTACGAGCTCCACTCTCTTGACTTCAGCACTGCTTTCCTACAGGGCAGCTTGCACGAGGAGATCTGGCTGCGCCGCCCACCTGGCTTCACTGGGTCGTTCCCTCCTGGTACCCAGTGGAGCCTCCGGCGGCCAGTCTACGGTCTCTGACAGGCACCGCGTGAGTGGCACGACACACTGAGGACTACACTTGCGGCTCTTGGGTTCGCTCCCTCTACTGCTGACAAGTCGCTGTTTCTACGCACCGACACTTCGCTGCCGCCGTTCTACATCCTCGTGTACGTCGACGACTTGGTCTTTGCCACTGCTGACACTGCGGCACTCGCCCACGCGAAGTCGGAGTTGCAGAAGAGACACACGTGCACAGACCTGGGTGAACTGACAAGCTATCTTGGCTTGCAGATCGCCCGGGACAGAGCACGGCGCACCATCACCTTGACTCAGTCACACATGGTGCAACAGGTCCTTCAGCGCTTCGGCTTCACGTACTCCTCGCCTCAATCCAGTCCTCTGGCTACAGGTCACTCGCTCTCAGCTCTGCCTTCGGATGAGTCCGTAGAGCCGAGTGGCCCGTATCCAGAGCTTGTTGGTTGCCTCATGTACCTGATGACCTGCACTCGACCTGACCTTGCATACTCTCTTAGCATCCTTGCACGCTATGTAGCTCCTGGCCGTCACCGGAAGGAGCACATGGATTTTGTTAAGAGGGTGTTGCGCTATCTGTGCAGTACGTCGGGCATGGGGCTAGTGCTTGGAGGACGAGACCGAGTTGTACTCACTGGGCACTCAGACGCTTCTTGGGCTGACGACCAAGCTACTCAGCGGTCGTCACAGGGTTACACCTTCAGCCTTGGCTCTGGTTCAGTTTCTTGGCGTTCTACTCGTTCTTCTTCTGTTCTCAGCTCCAGTTGTGAGGCTGAGATCTACGCCACAGCCATGGCTGCACAGGAGTTACGCTGGCTCACCTACCTGCTGACCGACCTGGGAGAGCGGTCTAGTTCTCCTCCAGTGCTGTACGTCGACAACAAGGCTACCATTGCCTTGTGTGAGGAGCACAGACTGGAGCACAGAACGAAGCATATCGCTCTGCGGTACTTCCTTGCTCGAGAGCTCCAGCAGCGTGGTCAGCTTCGTCTGCGTTACGTGGCCACTCGGGCCAACAGTGCTGATGTGTTCACCAAGGCGCTTCAGCCTTGTGACCATCAGCGTTTTTGTACTGTTCTAGGCCTTGTGCCTACTTTCCCTCACTTGCTCACTTCTTGACTTTGCTTGTACTGTGATCTCTATATATATACCCGCATGCTTACACTTGTTAGGTTGTGATCACTGTATCTCTTGATGTATTATCAAACTGCATGTGAACTGGTCTTGTGACCGCTTACTTGTGCTCGGAATTTGTGTGGTATCCTTGAGATCCACCCTGAGCTTGTTTTGCCTTGCTTTGCTTTGACTGGTCTTGTGACCCCTTGCTCTCCCCCATTTCGCCTATGGGGGTGTGTCAAACATTATATATGTTGTAGTTGTTTAAGCTACAGTGGGTTAGCCTTTAGGGGGTACACAATTCTAGGTTTAGGTACTTGTACTCACTTCTCTCTCAATTCAATCATTCTCTAACATCTTCCACCGATGGGGGTCCCATCAAGGGAGGCGGAGGTGGGCGGCCTTCCGCGAAAAGCGCAGATGGGGGGCCCATCACGAGGGGCGGAGGTGGGCGGCCCGGGGTCTCGGGAGGCGGAGATGGGGGACGCCCCCCGAAAGGCTGGTCCGTCAAGAAGCATGCAACTACAGATGATCACGTGTTGAAGCTGGCCATGTTCGCCGTCGAGCAAAACAATAGGAAGAAGGTATGATGAAGTGCCGTATGACCAAGGGCATTCTTTCGTTTCGCGTGTGTTCGAGTCCTTCATCCCTCTTGCGATCGCGTTCGCATTGCTCTCGTGTGGTCGAGGGGAACGGTCCAGAACATGATGCTTGTAGAATCTTGTGTCGAATCTATGCCTTCCCCCCCCCCCCCCCCCCCCCCCCTCTCTCTCTCTCTCTCTCTCTCTCTCTCTCTCTCTCTCTCTCTCTCTCTCTCTCTCTCTCTCTCCCACTCTCACACACACACATATTCTCACACTCACGTTGACACACACTCCAAATAGCTTACCTCCAACTCATCCATTTTCCGTCCTCCCTCTCCTATGTTCCCACCACCACCATGTCTGTCCCTCCACCACCCATGCCCACCTTCCACCATCCATGCCCACCTTCCACCATCCATGCCCACCTTCCACCACCCATGCCCACCTTCCACCATCCATGCCCACCTTCCACCATCCATGCCCACCTTCCACCACCCATGCCCACCTTCCACCATCCATGCCCACCTTCCACCACCCATCCCCACCTTCCACCACCCATGCCCACCTTCCACCATCCATGCCCACCTTCCACCAGAACACGAAGCTCATGCTGTCGTACGTCACAGCTGCATGGTTCCAAGCGGCGGCGGCTGGCCGCAAGTGGAGAATCGGCATGCGTGTCAAAGGCGCTGGGAGTTCCAGCCAGGTGCGAGCGCCTATTGTTTCCACGCACAAGGCGGAGATCAACGAGAAGCAATGGGGAGGCAGTCTCCAGCTGCTCTCTTTCAAGGAGGTGACTTCCGCTGCACAGAAGAAAGAGGAGCAGAATGCTCCGCTTCGGAAGAGGCGTTAATTACAAGTTACAAGGCTCGCCCCTGCTGTGAATATGATATTCACATTGAACGTCACGGATGCACTTATGCAGGATGTGGATTATGCAAGGGCTGCAGGGCATGTTTGGCTGTGTGATGTGTTTGGCTGTGTAATGTGTATAGTATGTTGTGTCAACAAGTAGTTGTGAAGGAGCATTGTTTGCATTACAAGTGATGGGGAGGGCGGTGTGCAGGGAAGGGCGAGAGATACGATACGGTCAGGCCCTACGATATCAGGAATTTTTCCCTGAAATTCCTGATTTTCAGCCTAGTTTTGTGTACCTACACTGAATTTTCAGTGTTGAGATTTTTGTTACACTGATTTTTTCAGCCTTTACTTCATAGCTAACACTGATGTTTCAGACTTTTATCGAAGTGTACACTGAATGCACATTCCGAATCCTTCCCGTAAAACACCCGAGACAATAAGTCAACCAACATTTCCGCATAAGCAATTCTTATTTAAAAAATACTGATCACTGACTCGATGAACTGGCTTAGTGGTTAGTGATGTAGATATCGGTTGGTAATGTTTTGGGTTCAAATCCCTCTTTTACCATGTCTGTAAAGGCTACTCTCTTGCACAATTGCTTGATGTGATTGAAAATTCAGGCTTTTGTTTTCCGAAACCCTGAAAATTCAGGCTTTTTTTTTTAGGAACCCTGAAAATTCAGGCTTTTTTTCACAGGGACCCTGATGCATCAACGTCCCTAAAAGTGAATCTGAGGGCCTGGATACGGTAGTACAACAGCCAGGGCCTTCACTAGTATGATGAGTCCATATACCGTCACCCCCCGGATATACCCCCATGGGGGGCAATAATAAAACAGGTTTTTTCAAGGGGGTGGGCTTATAATCGAGTAAATTTATAAGCGCCGGCGTTTATAAAATGACATTCATATTTTTTTATATTTTTGAACACCAAACTGTAGGTCTCGTGCTTGCCCTTTCAATCGAGTCGAAGTTACATGGGGTCGTCTGTGAAATTCTCGCGCGCGCTGGGAGACACACCCAATCTGACTCACATCCAGCTCCTGGCAGCTCCTGACAGCTCCTGCTGACTGGACCCGCATCCAGTGCAGGGTCCGAATGTGAAGGGAACCGAATGTGCAACATATCTGCCTGCTAAAGTAAAAATCATTACAACGTTTTGTACACATTTCAAATTTTAAAGTTTACGTGCGCTTATAATAAAACTAGTTTTTTCAGGGGGTGCGCTTATAATCGAGGAGGGGATATAAGCGCCATATGCCAATTAGAAGCGCCAGGCGCTTATCCTAGGGTGGCGCTTATATCCGGGGGGTGACGGTAGTCACACACAGCTCCATTGTTCATCATGTACACCTCACCCTCTCTCATAACTCAAAACACCAACAACCAAATCAAGAGCACCTAAGTGCTCTTTGATTACCGTATTACAATTTACAGGCCATCAGCTACCTAAAACTCACAAATTTAATACCAAAATCTAACTGTTAAGCCCAGCAAAGAGCATGCGGGACATCGAGAGCAAGCAGCACACAGCGCCAACGGGGTCCATCCGAGCTAGATGGTGCGGGTGTTGTACGAGCCGCAGGCAGAGCATTTGTGGTATAGCCAGTGGAAAGGTGCGTTTCCCTTGGCCTCGCAGTCGTTGCAGAGAATGGCCTGAGGGAACACAGAGGAATACAGAGGAGCAGGGGCAGGAATAACACTTCGATTACCGTATGCCTCAGTATTGCTGTTCTGACGCCAGATGCTCCATGTTGTGCCACAAGCATTATGGAGCCCATTCGCGTGTCCATTCAGTGAGGGATCACACAAGATAGGAAAGCAAGACCAACAAGACGGTTGAGCTCAGATAATTTGGCCAGTCAACAAAGAGCATGTCGGCCCACCTGTTGCCGGTTGCGGTACTCCTCTGGAAGCTGCTCTGCGGCTAGTAGAGCATCCAACATCCCAAAGTACACCTGGTGAACGCAGCAGAGGGGGGAGGAAGAGACAGAGTGACAAGGTGCCTAGTCAGCAGCACGTAGCGACAGTTCTGGGCGCAGGGACAACCGTGTGCGAATAAAACAACGTAGACAGAACTGTAAACTCAGATGCTTACAGTTACAGTTTCACAAACTCATCACAACAGAAGAAACACAAGCAAAACAGATGCACTGCATGTGGTTCCTGAAATTTTGGACCTACATTTTCTATGCCTGGAAATCTCTACCTTGCTTCTAATGCACCTGAGAAACACACAACAGAAATTCAGTTTACACACCTGTATGTCCCCCACAGACTATCAGCAGATGGGGCAGGTGAACTGCTTGCACGTGTACATTTGGAAACACACCAGGTGCCTATTTTTGCGGCACCTGAATAATCAAAACAGAAACCCGATGGGCCTACCAGCAAGTCTCTGACCAATTTGCAGCTGATGGGGCAGGTATAGGGTACTCGCATGTGTACGCCTGGAAGCACGCCGAGTGCATGAAGTGGCTACTTCAAAACCCATAAGGAACCAAACCAGAGAACCAGCTGGCGTACCCGCATGTCTCTGACAGATTTGCAGCAGATGGGGCAGGTGTAGTGCTCGCACGTGCACGCCTAGACGCACGTGGAGTGCATGAAATGCCTATTCTTGAAGCACAACAAGCATCAGGACAGAGAGACCGACGTACCCGCATGTCTCCGACGGACTTGCAGCAGATGGGGCAGGTGTAGTGCTCGCATGTGTATGCCTGGAAGCACGCGGAGTGCATGAAATGGCCGCAGGGGAGCGCCTTGACAGGTGCGGAGGAGGTGAAGAGGAAGTCGTGGCAGATGGGGCAGTTGGACTCGAGGCCCTTCTCCCGGCACGTGTGCTGCGCCAGTGTCACGGACATGCACGCGTTGCACGTCATGCAGTGGAAGTAGTCGATTCCCAGACCCCGCCCCACCCGGCACAGGTTGCAGAACGGGCAGTGGTAGATGTCTCTGTGGTGGCGGTGCGGTGGGAGGAGGGTTGTGAGGATGCACATGTGAGTTGATGCGCCAATACCGAGCATCATTCCAGTGGCTTCAGGCATGGTAATCACCCTAACTTTCATCAAACACTCTGCAAGGCCTCAGCAGTGAGGAAGGGGCAAGCATGGGAATGAATGCAGGCACGAATGCTAATGAAAGACAGCTTCTGCAAGCCATGGCCTCCCATTGTCCTCATCGCATCCTTCCCAGGCCTCACCTGGCGTCATCAAAGAGCTTGCAGATGCTGCAGTAGTGCTTGGCCATGGAGTAGCCGTTGCAGGAGGGCGTGGCACAGTGCTGCCCCACTGGCTGCACCTTGAGACACTTCATGCACATCATCTCCTTCACCGCATGCCTGGCGGGTAAGGGTAGAGTCGAAGCGGAAGGGTGAGGGAAGAGCAGGATTATGGTCGAACGCGCATGAACAGATAAAGGCCCAAGAGGAAGGCCCGTATTTGTCCATGGAGTGTTGATGGATCTAGTTCTGAAGTATTAAGTTGTAAACTAGTACACACTCTTGTACCTGTCCAAGAATGGATGGCGAACTTGCTTTGACATGCTCCTTTCCTACCTGTCCACAGTGTGGCGGCGAGCTGGTCTTGTTCTATACCCATATCTCCACAGCGTGGGCGGGGAGATTTGTCCTGTTGTGAACGCACCTGTCCATGGCATGGTCGGCGACCTTGTCCTGTTGTGAACGCACCTGTCCATGGCATGGTCGGCAACCTTGTCCCATTGCAAACGCACCTGTCCATGGCGTGAGCAGCAAACTTGTCCTGTTCAGTACACACCTGTCCATGGCATGGTCGGCGACCTTGTCGTGGCAGAAGCGGCAGGAGACGAGCTTGCCGCAGCAGACAGCACGCACTTTGCAGTTGCGGCGGTAGTGCTGGCAGCCGTAGATGCCCTTCTCCTCGTCGTGGTACGACGCACACAGCACCTCCTCCTCGGGCGTGTCGCGGGATGACTTGTGCTGCTGCTGCTGCGCCACGATCCACCGGCTGCAAAGATGATAGATGCACCATGCACATGAGCACAGCCCGGTACAGGCATGGGACGACACATGCTTGGATTGTGAATTTGTGACATTTGGCTGATGATGCATGCACCAGGCAGCAGACTCATAGACACTCGAAAGATACCATGCAGCAACTCGCAGCAGCAGGCAGCAGCACAGCACAAGCACAACAAACGGACCTGGTCATGAGGTTCTGCATGAGGTACGCCTTCCTCCTGGGGTCCAACGACGAGTCGCTGGAGACGCGGCGGATGGCGGCCTCAAGCTCCTTCTGGTTCATGCGGAATATGTTGTGCCACCCCGGCCTAAACGTCCTCTTGTCCTTCTCCACCTCCTTGCCCTGCGCCCCACTCCCTGCCTCCCCACTCCCACCACCTCCACTCCCACCAATACCCTCTTCAACCCCACCCCCACCACTTCCACTGCCGCCTTCCCCTCCCACTGCCTCATTCCCACTGCGCCCATCACCACATTCTCCTGCCGCAGAACACCCTTCCCCGCCCGTACCCTCCCTGTCAGATGTCGTCCCTTCCGCATGCCCATGTCCACACCCACCACCATGACAACCAGCAGCACCTGCACCACCATCAGCAGCAGCACCACCAGCATCTGCAGCACCATCCGCACAGGAGGCGTCAACACGCGTTGCTGCTACTGCACCCCCCTGCTCTGCTGCCTCTGCCCCTGCTGCTTGTCGTGACCCATCACTCTCTAGATACTCAGCCACCATCTGTAGCGCGTCAGAGGAGAGGCTATCAGCTAGGTCGTCCCTAGCGTGGCCTTGGTGCCCAGGGGAGGGCGGCAGGGGGTTGGACGTGCCAGCAGGGGACTTCCACCAGGCGCTCAGCCATTGGTCGAACATGGTGTTGCGGGATGCCTTGCGCCACGTGTCCACCATCCCTGCCTGCTCCTCGTCTGATATGGCTGCTGTGATCCACGTCAGCATGGCCTGAGAAGGAAAAGGAAACATGGATAAGTGCATGCATTCATAACTATGTTAAATCTCCCTTTCTCCTGTCTCCCCTTGCCACACACACACCCCCCCACCACGCCCCACAACGCTCATCACACCCCATAACGCCCCCTCACGCCCCAACAAGCCCCGCCCCGTGCCCCGCCCCGTCACGCCCCACCCCTCAAGCCCCATCAGCTCCATAGAGCCCCACTCAGTCCCCGAGAGGCCCCATGGCGCCCCACGAGGCCGTATCGCCATACCTGCAGCACCTCGGCGCCCGTGGTGCCAATGATGCGCCCCACAATCGCGTCCTGCTCCTCCATGCTGAAGTGAATCCCAAACAGCGGCCACAGCTCCAGCTCCTCGCGGGAGATGTGCTGGTCCAGGCACAGCCGCACAGACAGGCTCATCCGATGCACCCTTTCCGCCAGCTCCCTCCTCCTCTCCTCCAGCTCCTTCACCTGCTTCCTCGCCTCCTCCCGCTCCTCCTCCCCTCCGCTCTCCTCGGCTTTCGCAGCCACACCCTTGGCTTTATTTATCGCAGAAATGACCCCTGAGAGCTGGTTTAGAACGCCGGCGATCGCATCGAAAAGCTCCTCCTCCTGCTTGTGGTCGATCGTGTACGAGTGGCTCACGTTGTGCAGCGCCTCCTTTGCCTCCAGCGCCGGGAACACAATCTCGTCCTCGGCATTGCTGTGCGCGCGGTACAGCCCCCACAGGAAGTGGAACCGCCCGCTGAAATCCCGGGCAGCGTCGTCGTCACACGTGGCTAGCCGCGCTGACTCAGCAGACAGGTACTCCAGGTCCTTCCTAAGCGCCTGGTGGAAGTGGAAAATTGCATCGATGGGCCGCTGGCTTGACGAGCTACCCCTGTCGTTTGAGAAAATGCCGGGACCCAGGACACCCCCTGTGAGAAACCCCCCTCTGGAGGCGGATGAGCGAGTGAGAGCGCGGCCTGCTGCGCTGGAGAAGCTGAGCGCTTTGGAACCCAGAGACCCAGGCTCGGAAGCAGAGAGCTGCATAGGAGGGGGGGGCTCGGGTTTAATTAGGATTGCTGGCAGGCTCTGGAATGACCCGCTGAGGAGCCTGGCTCGCTTCGAAGGAGGGGTTGAGACGCTGTCCTTGGGGCTGGCTGCTGTGCGCTGGGATCCCACTTCCAATGAGGCTGCATCCGCGGATGCACTCGAGTGTAATGAGTGGTTTCCTGATTTTGCTGTTGTGAATGGTCTTGGAGTGTCAAAAACGCTGGAATCTAAGGCTTGGGGTGGTGTGGTGGTGTCGTCAGATTGTGGTGGGTGCTTACTGGCCCAGGATGTGAACAGGGAGACCAGAGGAACATCCATCTCAGGAGCTGCAGGGTAAGAAAAAAAACACGGAAAATCAGGGGAAGAGGGAAAGGTGAGAGTCTTTGTAATGAGACTTCTAGCATGAGCTTCCAATGCTTGGTACATCCGCAGCTGAGCTCTTCCTTTCCTAGAATAGAAAAGAGAAGAAAAGAGAACAAAACAAAACAGAACAGAAACAAACAAACAAACTTACCCGCGAGCTTCATGTTCTCCACGATCTCTGTGGCCTCCTCCTTTGTGACGAATGTCATTACCCATGGGAGCACACGCTCCAGCAGCCGCAGAGGCATGACCAGCAGGCACCGGTAGACGAGCTGCCGCTGCTCATCCAGGCTGCAGTGCTGCCGCAACAGAGGAAACACCTGCACAGCAAAGTTGGAAAATAAAAAACCAAATCAGAACACAACCATATAATGAACACCAACATGCTTCATAATCTCTTTGATGTCATTCTGCAAAGAAATTTGCATTTGCAAGCTCACATCATCCTCTTCAGCTTGCAGGTGCTGGTCCAGTGACTCCACAATGGTGAGTGCTTGTTTCTTCAGCTCTGAAAGGAGCGGCTCGGCAGCACTTGGACTGTGCTCCATCACATGCCGAACCTCATCCAGCAGATGCCCTACTGCAGCAAAGAGCTTCTCTTCGTTTGCATGGGCCTGTACATAGCGTGTCGGAAGGTCTACACGTTTTGAAAGAGCAGGAAAGACCACCTGGTCCTCCGCTGTGCTGTAGAGATAAACGAAGTGAACCATAACACAGTGAACCACAAGGATTACGTCAGCCAGACAGTAATGACCTGAATGTGGGAAGAAGACGAAAAAGTCAGAGAACGAATTTCAACTCTGGAAGGAAATGCCCCCAAAAGCATACCTGTGAAACACACAAATATCTGAGAGGAACCGGTATCTTCTTATTAGACTGTCGAAGGTGTCAAGCTCCAGGCCTTTCACTTCTCTGTGAAAAGCTTCCAGTTCCTTTCTAATTGCGTTGTGCCAGTACAACAACTCGTCAATGGGATGCCTGTTTTTGAGAGTGGTAGCTGTCAGAGGCGTGGTCTTTGGACGAGGTAATTTAGTCCCTGAGAGCTTGGGCTTCACCAATCCTGTCCATCTCTCGTGAATCTTCGGAAACACGCCATGCATTCGGTTCATCCAGCCAGAAACCACCTGAAAGGAAAGAAACAACACGCGAGGACACCTGAAGGACACATTGCTGGCGGAATCGACGGCTTGTATGCCGAATTCGACAACCACTCACCTCCTGCAAGAGCTCCTCTTGCGGGACAATCTTATGCATGTGCTCCACCATTTGCTCCTGCTCCTTTTCCGTAAGATACGAAGCCATCCAGGGAAGGCAATCCTCCATGAGCTTTATCGGCATGCTGCACAGAAACTGCCAGACTAGATTCGCCTGCTCCACCGCGTCGAAATGCTCTACCAGCAGCGGAAACACCTGAATGACAAAAAGTGACCGTTAGTATTGTTTTCTGTCTGCGAAAGTGCTCGCACATTAAACTTGACTCAATACGGAACGACAAATAGACGAACGGGAGCCATTACTACGACACCGACTAACCTGCTCTTCCTCTTTCGACAAATGCTGCACGAGCACCGTGAGCAATGCCTCTGTGCAGCAGATAAGCTGGCTGAATAGACTGCGTTCCGTCTCGTCGCGTCTTAAGTTGGATACGAGGTCGGAGAGCTGGTCGAAAAGGTCGCTCTCCACTTTATGCTCGAGCGTGTACGCGTGAGCGACGTTCTTAACCCGGGAATCGAGCGCTGGAAATACCACCTGAGGCAGAAATTCGAACGAGTCAGAAAGCTGCCAGAAATTCTAAGGGTCTACTTGATAATGTTTCAGTATATCAGTCTAAAGTGCAGCGTACCTCGTCTTCCGCCGTGCTATGGTACTTATACACCATTCTAAGGAATTCATAGCGTTCCAGCAACAGCTGCGTGTCCTTCTTTCCGCCGCGTTCTAAGGCCAACGCGGTGGTGTGAAGCTTGTCCAACTCGGCCTTAATTGCCTTGTGAAAGAACAAAAGGTGGGAGATGGGAGAAGACGCCAGCGTACGGACTAACGGCAGCGACGGCACAAGACCGCCAGGAACATTCTCTACCTGGACGGGACCGACAGACGCCATCAGCGAACGCAAAACGTCCTCCCACTCCACAATTTCTACAAAGCAGCTTCACTCTAAGGCAGCTAACACAAGCCTCTTGAAAAGAAGCAGCGACAAAGGAAAACACACTGACCCTACCGTACCGTACCCTCTCTCCCTGCAGGTTTGTGGATGTGGAGCAAAAAGCAAGGCCACATGGTGACCACATGTGTGTGTGAGTGAAGGTCGGCCAAGCTTCGCCTTCAGCCAACCCCAAACTGCCTTTTCCACCCAACCAGCCTTCCAGGTTCTCTTGTTCTCGTGGTTACCACGCACGTAGGGTTTGGCTGCACAGGGCAGCAGTTTCAAGCACGAACACTGGAGGTGGCCCTCTCTATTTGCACACTCGTTTCAGGCAACGGATCTGGTGTACATCCCCAGGAATGGGCAGGGCTTGCGTGGCAACACAGTGACGTGTGAGCGGTTGCCCTGCTTCGCAGTGAAGATTGCAGCGTGGTGTTGCCGTGCCGAGTGCCGAGGCACCACTTCGTGGTGTGTTTTGGGTTCGGTCAAAGCGATGAGCAATGCAAATGGAAAATCTGAAAACGATGTGCGTGTAACAATATCGGGGTTCTCTGTTGGGATGCGCTGTTTCCCTCCAACATTTGAACCAACCTTCTGCTGTGGAATACCAATCCATCTCCCAACCCAAACCTTCCACATTTCAACCCTTCGTCCAGCACAGCTCCACACTTGCCACTGCAAAGCAGTCCCCTCGTGTGAAATTGACAAGATTCACGACAAGATCACTGTCTCGCTGTCATTCCAGGCACAACACCATCTTTTTGCAGGTCATGTCGAGAAGTCCAAAAATGAGTGTTTATGATTATACGTCTCGAGTCCCTCCAGGTGTGTGTTTTGACATCACCAGACCATCATGAGTTTTATGTTGTGTTGACGACTATTCTTTTGCAGTGACCGAGTTGCTCCAACCACTTGTGGAGGAGCATTGTCCCTCCCTATCTTACGTCTTCGGCAACCATTATGGCACGTTTGAAGCTTTGAACAAAAGTTCCCCTCAGCAGTCGCCTGCTCGTTTTTCTGCACCGTCGTCCGACCTCCGGCCACCTTTTAGATCGGTTTATCAAAATGGCCTGTTTAATCAGGGTTTGTCTGGCACGAATAAACACCAGATGAAATCACCCAGCATCTTAAGCCGTCAGCCTAGCGCTCCTTCGCCGAGCCAGGGCATGACCAATGCAGAACCAGGTTCTTCTGCAACACGCCCGTCGCGTAACAGTACTTTTTACAACAGGAGCAGCATATACAGCGAGCGGGAATACGAGATTGCGAAGAACCTTGGCAGGCAATTGCTTTCCCGACCTTCTGTTAGAGGTTCTGGTTTTGATCGTAATTCGGTTAGCAGCATTGATGGAAACCGCTCGCGGCAATCCACTACCAGTCATGCTTCTGTGACGGTGTCCGATTTGGAATTGCTCCTACAAGAGGGAAGCGATGAATCCGGAAGAGACAGCACCGAATGCTAGAAGAAGAGGTCCAGACTACGGCTGTTCGCTTTGTTGCTCTCTGATTGATTAGGAGAAATCTGGTGGATAAACAGCAGAGCTCCCTGACATGACAAACGCGTGGCAATAATGAATGAAAATCCCGATTGTGGCTTCTGTCTTTTGATGGGGGTGATTATGTTGTTGCGTTTCACAAATGAAAGTTTGAATTAACAATGTCAATGGCTTCAGCATTTACCATACACTAGGGTCAACAAAAACCTGTGAACCCTCTCAACAAAAACCTGTCATCAAAGCACTAAATTTAGCATTGTTTGCCCGTTAATACTTGGTCAAATCCTTGATCCCCAAGCCATGCGCCACAGCGGTCAAGTCATAACTAGTCTTCTTAGCAGGCGCTTCCTCTATAGTCACACTCACAGCCCCCTTACACTCTTGCTCAACCACCCCCTTCAGAGTCACAGCTTCATGCATGCCTCTACTACCGCTCACAAGCCCGCTGCTGGGGCTACCAGGTGTGGCCTCAGGGGGAGGAGGAGAAGGGTGGAGAACAAGTGAGGAGAGCAAGGGACACATGCGAAGGATTCGGCGGAGCTCAGCGGGTGTGGGGAGGTTGTAGGAGAAGGAAAAGGAGGAGAGGGCCGGGAAGAGGACTGCTTCTCCGTCTGCTGTTGTTTTGGCTCGCTCGAAAATGCCCCTGTGGGGATCAAGGGGTTGTTATGTGGTTGCGGAGGAGTGTGTGAGGCGAGGAATTAGAAAAGGGAAGAAACGTGCAACGTAGCAGGATAGCTATATGACATGAGATGAGAGAGATGGAACCCCAGGACAAGCTGCAGCTTGAGACTCATTACATGGCAAGGCGTCAGGCACACAAGATTATGACGGCCCATGACATGACACGGACAAGGACACAAAAGCGCCATCAGGTGACATGCATTTGAGAATGACGAATGCAGAGATTGTGAGAATGGGAATGCCAAACACGTATTGTAGTGTAGCCCTGTTGCAGTATCTAATGCACCCCACCTGTGGTAGCCATGCAGGGACAGAGAGTGCAGATGGGCGCAGGAGGCGAGGGCAAAGACACCATTCTCTGTGATGTGGTTACCGTTGATGGCCAGGGATTGGAGGTGCGGCCACTTGCGGTTCACCTGGTGGGTCATGCCATGCATGGTGGATGGTGGCAGATGGCATGGATGGTGGTGGCATCACATCACATCACGTCTCATGCCATGACATGTCATACATGCACTGGCAGTGAACCCGCGACATAGCAGTAGCCACCCACACCATGCATCCGCTTCACCAACAACCATCTCTACACGCAGCTGCACACAAGCAGCAGGAGGAAGCCTTTCAAACTGTGGACGAAAATGGCTAGACGGCAAAAGCCTTACACCGTTTCACACCCGCACCTCTCTAGCAACCCTACCCAATCCCTCACCCACCTGCCACAGCAAATTGTCTCCCAGGCTGTGGATGGGAATGGCAGAGCACACGTAGCAGTGAAAGGTGTGCACGCGGGTGCAGGCCCGTAAGAAGGCCGCCACCTGGTGGGCATGATTGGAGGATGGGGAGAGTGGGGGGGTTGGGGAGCGTTCAGGAGAGAGGATTTACCTCGCTTGTTCGTTCGAAAGAGGCTCGCTTGAAATTCAATACAAAGGACCGTTCGAGAGAGGAGCGCTGAGGACCAGGGGGCAGGCTTGTAAGTAAGCCCCGTTGGATAGTAATCAGGGGACGGGGGAGGAGGAAAGAGAGAGAGAATGATTGACTCAATTTTCAAGTGGACAGGATATGCAATCCCATCAAAGTTTTAGTCAGAACGCCCCATGACTCCCAGCAGTCTTTTGAGACGACTTAACAGTAAACTATAGGCACAACCCGTCATGACTCGCAACACACTACGACAACAGATAGTGATTATCTTCGCTGTAGTCATCAGCACCTACATAAGGACCTTCCCTATAATCACACCCCGAAAAGACTCACCGCAGTCCTCTATGATGAGGCAGTCAGCAGCAATCAACACGAATTCCTCCAGAGCGGAGCACAGCCACCAACTCACGTGCAAAATGAACACCTCCAAATAGAGTCAACGCAAGTCAACGCAAGTCAACGCGAGTCAACGCAGGTCCACTCACAGCAGTCTCAGTGACGAGGTAATCAGCAGCTACCAACGTGAACTCCTCCAAAGCGGGGCACAGCCGCCCCACCGCTCCCAGCAGCCGGTCTGTAAAGGGCACCTGGAGGGGTGTAGGGGGGCGCGCAGAGCGGTACAGAGCGGTGCATAGGGGTGAAGTGAAGGGTGCTGGGCAGTCAGCGAGAGACCAGAGGAGCAGAGCCACAGCAACGCCGCCGATTGGCGGACTGCACAGGAGAACTGGAGAAAGAAGCCGTGCAGAAGAGCAGCTTTTTTAGTCGACTTCACAATGAAGCTGAGCAGAGCAGAGCAGAGCATGAGAACAGCTGGTGTGGAGAGCAGAGGATGATGTGACGAGCAAGTCCACCGCTCCGTGCTTGCCCACCGCTCCGTGCTTGCCCACCCTCCTCTGCACCCACCCTCCCCTGCACCTACCCTCCCCTGCACCCACCCTCCCCTGCACCCACCCTCCCCTGCACGCACCTGCCCCATCACCCTCCTGCACCCTCCTGCCCCATCACCCTCCTGCCCCAGCACCCTCCTGCCCCAGCACGCACCTGCCACTCGAACTGAAGGCTGAGGCGCTTGAGCCCGCCCTTGGTGCCCTCCAGCAGCAGCTCCAGCCCGTGGTGCAGCCAGGGGTTGGGGCGCTCCTGGGGGGTGGGGATGGGTGGGGAGGGATGGGCAGGAGTGGATTGAGAGGCGCAAAAAGAGATGCAAGGATGGGGAGCTGGTAACACATGCGTGCGGGCTTTCCCGCAGCAGCTCCAGCCCGTGATGCAGCCAGGGGTTGCCGCTCCTGAGAGGTGACATGGGGAAGGATGGGCGAGCGTGGATTGAGAGGCGTGGGCGGGGAGATGGGCGGCCATGCGTGAGAGCCCGCCCTTGGTGCCTTCCAGCAGCGGCTCCAGCCCGTGCTGCAGCCAGGGGTTGGGCCGCTCCTGGGGGGTGGTGATGGGTGGGGTAGTCGCGGTGTAAGGGGCAAGGGCGGGGATGGAGGGGACCGCCCATGCGTGATTGCCTTCTAGCAGCAGCTCCAGCTCGTGCTGCAGCCAGGGGTTGGGGCGCTCCTGGAGGGGGGGGAAAGGGTGATGGGGAGGAAGTGGGGAAGGGAGAGATGGAGGAGGAACAGGCCGCAGCAGCGACTGCACTGCAGCAGCAGCAGCAGCAGCGACCGCAGTTGATGATAATAATTACACCCACGGTCGACGATTACAGCTTGAGGATGCGTTCATGTACGCGATACAAGACGCATCCCTACACGCTATGATCGATTTTCGTTCCTTGGTATACCAGAATGTGCAGATGAGTGATGTTAATCTCCTCGGTTTCTCCGCACCGCGACGCGATCTGCTCCAGTCCCGCGCCGTACAGATTCCCGCCGGCCTCGCCGTCCGCGTGCACGCGGCGCCAGAGCGACGGCGCGCGACACGCGGCGCGCCATTTGCGGCCGAGCGTGGATAGACGGCAGAGATCCAACGGCTCGAGGCGCGCGCGAGTGAGAATGTCGACGAGGATGTTGTGATCCAGCGAATCCATGCGTCTTGCGCTTATCACGACAAGAGCTATAGCGCGTACGACATCTGGAGGTTCCGAGCGAGTTATTCGCGCGAGTGCGCGCACACAAAGCCTTCACTTTTAGGCGACTCAAAACTCGCGGAGGGAGGAGTGGACGAGGGCAAACCGCACGGCGAGAGGAGGATGACGGAACGGAGAGAAGAGAAGAAAAGCAGACACATTTCAAGAAGCAATCCTACTACTTTATGGAGCTGGTGACCAGTGCTGGTGGCAAACTCATGTGGAAACGCAGAGTGTGTCACCGCGCTGCACCGCACTGTCGCTCACTGCGTCGTAGAAAATCGATAAATGACCGCGTCGAAATCCGAACCTGAAGTCAGCAGCTGTGAATTCGTACGCGCTGCGATACATCTCCATACATATATTTGTGTTGCTGCACAAGATACAGCAACGGCCAACTCTTACTGCTGGCATACTGTAATAAGCAACAGTATGCCTCACCAAAGATGACGCAAAATGTTCAAGCATCTATATCCAAAGCGAGAGTTTATTATTTCTTGGCTCCATGTCATCGCTCAAGTGTTTTTCATCTCCTCCATGCTTGTGGCGATGCAACCTTCCCTTCGCCATTGCCACCACTCTCATCCTCTGCTCACTCCCACTGCTCCCTCCACTCCATGCCATTCTTGCCATTCTTGCCATTCAAGTCATTGCTCTAGACCCGTCTCTCCCATCTCTCCGCTCCTTCTCATCTCCTCCGTGCCTGTGACGATGCCGCCTTCCTTTCGCCATTGCCACCACTCTCCTCCTCACTCTCACTGCTCTCCGTGCTGTCCCCAAACGAATACACCGCAGCAGAAGCACCATCAATCACAACCCCACCCGGCACTTCCTGATCCACAAACACTTGCCTATGTGCCGACCCCTTTGGCCTCCATTCCTCACCCTCTGACTCAGACCCACTACTGCTGCTGCCACTGCTGTTACCACTGCTAATACGGCTACCAGCGCCTCGTGTCGCATCGCCAGAGGCGGGTGAAGGGAATGATGGCCGGCGGGGACGTGTGGGAAGGGCTTGTTCAGACGTGGGTGAGCGGGGTACTGGGGAGGTGAGTGAGGAGGGCGAGGAGGGGAGAGAGGAGCGAGAGGAGGAGGGAGGGGAGGAGGAAGGGAGGGCGGTGGCGGAAGGGGGCATGCCGAAGAGCTGCAGTCGGAGCACGTCGTGCAGCTGATCTAGCAGCTGCTTCTTCAATGCATCAAATGCCATCTCCAGCCGTTGCAGCTGCACAGGGAGGGAGCGTGAGGGGAGAGGAGGGATTGGAAGGGGGCATGCCAAAGGGCTGCAATCGCAGCATGTCGTGAGGCTGATGCAGTAGCTGCTTCTTCAATGCATCAAATGCCATCTCCAGACATTGCAGCTGCGTAAGGGAGGGGTGAGGGGGGAACGGGGAGATAACAGACGGGATTGAATGGGAGCACCATGCATGGTTAGGAGCATGCTGTGCGGCTGATCCAGCACCTGCCTCTTCACAGCATGCTGCGCGGCTGATCCAGCACCTGCCTCTTCACAGCATGCTGTGTGGCTGATCCAGCACCTGCCTCTTTGCAGCATCATTTACCACCTCCAGACACTGCAGCTGCCTCTATTCTTGAGTCGACTCTAAATCGACCCTTTTCACAGCATCAACTACCACCTCCAGACATGCACAAGGGAGGGTGAACGGGGTGAAAGGGAAGAGGCGAGATGGGAGTGGGAGAACTATGCTCAATTGCAACACGTGCTGCTTCGTCTTTTGATGCACTTGTGTTGAATAGATGTGTGCGACACTAGCAGAACCCTACCTCCACAGTGGCGTTCGTGTTGTACATGAAGAGCCTGTAGTAGAGGTCGAAGCTGTCCTCTGCTGTGTTCTATTGTTGAGGCGCCTAAACAACAGAACCCTACCTCATCAGTGGCGCTCGAAGTTGTACATGAAGAGCCCGGGATAGAGGTCGAAGCTGTCTCCCCATTGGAACCATACCTCCTCTACCTATCCAGCAACAAAACCTTACCTGCTCTGTGGCGTTTTGAGAGGTATCAAAAGTCGAAGCAGCCTCCCCATCGGAACCCTACCTCCTCAGTGGCATTGGTGTTGTACATGAAAAGCCCGTAGTAAAGGTCGAAGCTGTCCCCTGCCGTGTTCTCCACCTGCAAGTGGTGCGCACATCAAGTGAAAGGGCATGCGAGGTGACTTCTGAGAAAGTGGCACAAGACTTTTGAGGCGCCTCAAAAGCCACCTGCACATGGAGTGCAAGTGAAAGGGCACAGCTGGTGGCTTTTAACACGCGGTGGAATGAGCATACGAGGCAGGGATCACAGCACAGCACAGCACGGCACAGCACAGCACAGCACGCCTCAAAAGCCACCTGCACGTGGAGTGCAAGTGAAAGGGCACAGCTGGTGGCTCTTGACACGCGGTGGAATGAGCATACACAAGGCAGGGAGAAGGAGAGCAAAGATAGGGAAAGAGAGCAAGAGAGCGCAAGCTCTAATATGCAGCGTCGAGATTCACATTGCACGATGTGAATGTGAAGTGGATTGTGCACGTTGGCATGCTGGGCATGAGGCCACGCTGTGACTGCAGCAGGAGACTTTTGAGTCGACTCAAAAGTCACCTCATTACAATAGCACAAATCAAATCGCACGGTGTGAATGTGAAGTGGATTGTGCACGTTGGCATGCTGGGCATGAGGCCACGCTGTGACTGCTGCAGGGTGTGTGTGCAAGCATACCAGGTTAAGAAGCGTCTCGTATCCCTTGGTGTTGATGGGTGTGCTCTCCAGGCCTAGCTTGCCCAACACTCTGCATGCAATGGCGGTGTAACACATGCACACACCCATGCACCCATACAGGTTCCAAAGGTTTTATGCATATTGACATATGCATTCAAGCATCCATGCGTATCAACACAAGGGAGGGGAGAGGGGGAGAAAGGGAGGGGGAGAACGTTAGAGTAAAATGGGCTCGTCGTTGACAAAAACAGTAGCGGTACGAGTTTCACTAATATTGCTATCCTCAATATTATTACCTGTATTACTAATGAAGAGCGACAAAGGAAAATGGTGCCAGACGTGGGTGAAACTTAAAAGAAGGGTTTGATCTGAAGAGGCAGCACGGGGCGGGCCCCTCACCTGCCGACAGTGTGGGTGACGAACTGTGTGCCTGCTGCATACTTGTCATGCTCCTCACACGTCATTCGAGACGTCTCAAAAGGGGAACACATGAATTTGAAGAGGCAGCACGGGGCAGGCCCCTCACCTGCCCACAGTGTGGGTGACGAACTGTGTGCCTGCTGCATACTTGTCATGCTCCTCACATGTCATCTCCACCATGCGACACCCCTGATGCATGGAAGATGGGCAGGTTGATGGGATACGATGGGATGGGATGCGATGCGATGGGATGGATGGGATGGGATGCGATGGGACGGGATGCGATGCGATGGGATGGGATGCGATGGGATGGGAGGGGATAAGAAATGGGAATTTTGCATAAATCAGACGCTCTTCCTTCTCCTTCTCCTTCTCCTCCTTCTCGCCCACCATGATGCCTGCTCAGTCAAACACAGGCGCAGTTTTGCTCACAGGCCATCCACTTGCCTCCCTCCCACTCCCTCATCACCACCTCCCCACCTCCTCTACTCCCCCCATCTCATCACTATTTCGTCCCCCACCTCCTCACCTCCCCATGGAAGATCTGCAGGAAACGGTCGGCCTTCTCCGCCCTCTCGCCTGGTGTGATCCTCACGCGGTCAAACACAAACGACAGCCCCTCCCACGAGCCCTTGCCGCTCTCCGGGCCGAACATGGGGTGCGTGCAGAGAATGTCAAACTCGGGGGGGAGCACCTGGTGTGTGTGGGGAGGTGTGGAGGGTGGAGAAGGGAGGATTGGAACGCGTGGACGGCCGAAACATGGGGTGCGTGCAGAGGATGTCAAACTCGGGGGGGAGCACCTGGTAATGCGGAGAGGAGAGAGAAGAAAGGAGGACTAGAACGTGTGGGCAGGAGGAGATGATGGGAGGAAGAGGGCCCCTTGTCGCTCTCCCGGCTGAACATGGGGTGCACCTGGTGTGCAGAGGATGTGAAACTCGGGGGGGAGCACCTGGTGTGTGTGGGGAGGGGGATGGAGAAGGAAGGAAGGATCAGAACGTGTTCAGTGCTTGGGAGGAGACGAGAAGAAGCCGTTTCTGCTCTCAGGACCGAACATGGGGTGCGTGCAGAGAATGACAAACTCGAAAGGGAGGAAAGTCAGAGTCAATGGAGCGTGACAGAGAAGATCTTCATTCATTCTATCGCATCACACTGCATCGCATCGCATCGCATCGCATTGCATTGCATCGCACGAGCAGCAGCCAACCAGCGCACCTACCTGCAGCAGCAGCAGCAGCAGCAGCAGCAGCAGCAGCAGCATCTTGGGGAAGACCTTGACAGGCAGCACGTCCACAAAGAACGTGCCTCTTGAGGCGCTGTAGAGGCAGCGAGCGCAGCTACTGCATCGCACTGCACCGCACTGCACCGCACTGCATGTCGGCAATCACAACACACCTGCAGCAGCAGCATCTTGGGGAAGACCTTGACAGAGAGCACGTCCATGAAGAGAGCATCGTGTTGTGCTTGGCACACAGGATTAGTGCACCGCTACTGCATTGCACCGCATTGCACCTCATTGCACTGCACTGCAATCAATCAGCGTACCTGCAGCAGCAGCATCTTGGGGAAGACCTTGACGGACAGCACGTCCACAAAGAGCGTGTTGCGCTTGAGGCGCTGCAGCGGCAGCGAGCGCAGCAGCGAGTCGCTTGAGATGATGGACGTGCAGAGCAGCACCACGTCGGGGTGCTCCTCACAGAAATCGTCCATGTCGCTGGGGGGTATTGGGATGGATGGGAAACAGTTCAGATGGGTTGGGGAGATATTGCAGCGGCAGCGAGCGCAGCAGCGAGTCGCTGGAGATGATGGACGAGAAGAGGAGCACCACGTCTGGATGCTCCTCGCAGAAATCGTCCATGTCACTGGGGAGTACGGAGGGAAGGAGAGGGAATACGAATGCTAGTGGAGATTATACGAGCGTTGCATTGGGGTGAGATTGCAACAGCAGGTAGGTAACCGGTAACCATGGGTTGACGATCAAACTCGCTAGGAGAATTGACGCGCTCAGGCACTCACGTGTTGAATTGACTCAAAAAAATAAAAAGCATGGCGTGCGGATCAGTCTTTCTATGAGTAACTCAGGCACTCACGTGAAGAAGCGCACGCCCATTTGCTTGGCGACCTGCGAGTAGTCGGACCGCGACCACGCTGTCAGGCGGTGCCCGTGGCGCGCGAAGCGACGCGCCAAGAACTGCCCGAAATTGCCGAACCCCAAAATGCCGATGTTCAGCCTGCCTTTCTCTTCCAGCTGCCGCTTCTGATTGGCGGAGAGACCAGAGGGGAGGAAGACAAGATGACCAAAAAATATTTGGTGGGGGGAGGTTGGGGGAGTGGAGAACGCGATAACGAGACGAGAGGGGGAAAAGAACGGGAGAGAAAAAGGAGCACGGGGCTAAGAGTGAAGAAAGACAACGTCAACAAATAATTCGAGCGTGACTCGTTTAAAAGTTTTTTTTTTCTAATGCTCGTTATTGTCACTCGTCAGCGCGTCGGTACATTCACCTGTCGATGCTCGTAATCGAACGGCTGTGCTGCGTCGAGCGCGCGGATCGGCACCACTCCGCCTTTATTCGCATCGCGCCGCGAGCCGCGGCGCGATCTCATTGGCTGGCCTCTGATTGGGTGTGCGACGCTAAGCGACGAAAGGCCGCAAATAAACGACGCTGCATTCTCCAGGTGCGAACGTCGCAAATGTCGCGAATGGACCGACCTTGCAATGCTGAGGTCTCCTATTAGCGCGTTCGACGGCGCACCTACCACACGGAGGGCCATCAGCACAGTTTGATAATGCCTGATCGAACGGGATTCACGGGGCTGTGCCACGATCCGCCGTGGATTTCAAACGATAGAGCGACAGGAAAAGGAGCTTCTTATGATTTTCTCCAAAAAAACTTAAGGAATGGGGAAAATCATACAAGGGCAGAAAAGCAAGGAATGACGCTCAGCGGGAGGAAGGAATGGGGGACACAGACAGCGGCTGGCGTGTTTCACGCTAAAAGCCCTCCACCGCCAAGCTGAACAAATGAGTTCACAATTGCGTTTGATTGAGGTTCTGTGCTTGTCGGAGCGGCTTGTTTACACTTCTATACGTTTGGGTAGGGTTTGAAGCACAAGGGAACCAAATATGACCTGGCGAAGATATGGAACCTGGGGAATGTCGTGGATGGTACGAAGTACCTGAAAATACACGTCTGTTACTGTGTAACAGCCCAGATCGAAAAGGAGGGCGCACGAGAGTTCGATTGCGAAACTCCCTTCTCTTCGCACACAAACTACGGTTACAGCGTGCGTACGCAACAGATTGGGCGGGGGCTGGCACACTTGCACCTTCGTGAATCTAACTTGCACCGAACCAAACCGTCACGTTCCCCCGCGAGCCTTACTTCCCGCCAGAACCAGTCCCATCAAAGGTTAGGAGAGCACAAGCCTTCACGAGGACAGCAAGGTTTGTTTTAGCACTGTCTAGCGCCTCACGCGATTCGGGCTCATAACGAGTTATTTGAGAGGCCCGCCACTATCGCCCTCCTTTTCGACGTAACTCCCTGTGGACGGCGGCTTACCCCCATCGATATCATTACTCATGGCGACGACTAGTCGCGTCCTATCGACGCAAAGCGCATCCCCGCTACTGTCGAGATCAACGCTCGGCCGACAACGAGCGACGGCGTCCGTTGCGCCGTGTAATGCGGGCAGCGAATCGGGCGTGCGACGACGCATTCAGGTGCCGCTGCTTCGCTGTGCAACCTCGCTGTCTGTTATTTCACGTCTAGAAATATGTGCGGTATTGTGATTGCGTCAGCTCGATCGCGTCAGACTGATCGCGGTCAGCTTTGTGTCGCCAGCGCACCAAGTCGCGGGTATCACTATCGTATTCTGTTGCTAGTATCGCGCCTCGCTGCTAGTATCCCCCTTCGCTGATTTTCTCTCAAGGCCAGCTCTTCTTTCGTGTCCTCCCTCTTCTCCCCTCTCCCACCTTCCCACCCCCCCTCTCCCCCCTTCACGTTCCCCCCTCTTCACGTCAGGCTGGCCTTGCGCGGATAAGCGGCGTGCGAATCACCCCCGTGCGGACACCCGCGCGCGGAAGATCAGCGCCATCCGCGGAGGGGGCGCGCAAGCGCGGGGGGCTGCTGGTGGTGCGCGCCGTGGGGGATCACCAGCTAGCGCCGCTGCCGTACCAGCTGGTACGCGCTCCACCCCGCTTAAACCCTTAACCCGCGCGCTTGCAGAGCGGGTGCTTGTGGTAGATGCGCCGCCCCTGATGCTTGCCGCTGCCCTGGGTTTCGGGTTTAAGGGGATGGCGCATGGCAACGCCTTAAACCTCAAACCTCGCTCACCCCCGTCATCTTTTATCATCTCTACTCTTCCCCCGGGAACCCCTCCCCCTTCCCCAACCCAACCCCCTCCTCCCAACCCGTTAAACCCCTGTTTCCTCTCCTTCCACCCTTACCCTTTCGCTTTCCCCCCTTTTCCTCCTCTGCCCTTCCACTCCTCCTCCCACAGGATGCCTTAGAGCCACACGTCTCGCGGTCAGCGCTGGAAGCCCATTGGTCGGGGCACCACGGGCGCCAGCTGGCGGCGCTGAACCGCCAGCTGGACGCTGACCTGGCGCTGAAGCGGCTGCCGCTGGAGGAGCTGGTGAAGGTGGCTTATAACGGGGGCAACCCTCTTCCCTGCTTCAACCTCGCTGCTGAGGTGGGAGAAGTGGGGGGGAGGGGGCGTAGTGTAGATGTGCTTGTAACGAGGATAAAGATGGTGAAGGTGGTCGACCCCATTCTCTGCTTCAACCTCGCTGCGAGGTGTTGATGTGCTTATAGCGAAGGCTAGTGGAGATCAGAATGGTGTTTACTTACAGAGTGTGAGTGTGTGTGTGCATGCATGCGTTCATGTGTGCATGCATGCGTTCATGTGTGCATGCATGCGTTCATGTGTGTATGCATGCGTTCATGTGTGCATGCATGCGTTCATGTGTGCATGCATGCGTTCATGTGTGCATGCATGCGTTCATGTGTGCATGCATGCGTTCATGTGTGCATGCATGCGTTCATGTGTGCATGCATGCGTTCATGTGTGCATGCATGCGTTCATGTGTGCATGCATGCGTTCATGTGTGCATGCATGCGTTCATGTGTGCATGCATGCGTTCATGTGTGCATGCATGCGTTCATGTGTGCATGCATGCGTTCATGTGTGCATGCATGCGTTCATGTGTGCATGCATGCGTTCATGTGTGCATGCATGCGTTCATGTGTGCATGCATGCGTTCATGTGTGCATGCGTGCTGTGCTGGCATATGTGGGGTGTGCGTGTGTGTCTGTAAAAGAGATCTTTTGGGGATCCAGAGAGGGGTGCTGCAGCTGCTTTTCTTATTCCCATCTTCCCCACCCCACTCATACCCACTCTCTGCTACCCCCCCCTCCCATTCTCCCTCTCCCTCCCCCCACGACAGGCATGCAATCACGAGTTCTTCTTTTCGGGATTCCAGCCGGAAACCGAGGCAGCCGGAGCAGGGAGGTGGGGAACCGGCCAGAGGAAGAGGTGCTGCCATTGCTCCCCCTCCTTCATTCCTCCTCAACTCTCCCTTCTCCACTCTCCCCTCGCCTACCCCACGACAGGCGTGGAATCACGAGTTCTTCTTCTCGGGCTTGCAGCCGGCAGACGAGGCAGAAGGCAGGGAGGGGGGCAACCGGCCAGAGGGGGAGGTGCTGCGGCTGGTGGAGCGGGACTTCGGGTCGGTGGAGGGGTTTCAGAGGGAGTTCAGACAGGCGTGTGCCTTGTCGTTTGGCTCGGGATACGTGTGGCTCTCAGGTAACATTGGGGATTTCTTAGAAGCTGGTGGGCACGGCTGGTGGAGCGGGAATTCGGGTCGTATGAGGGGTTCCAGAGGGATTTTCGACGGGCGTGTGCTGCCTCTTATGGCTCGGGATACGTTTGGCTCTCAGGAGAAAACATTTGAGATGTCCCTGAAGCTGGTGGGCAGTGGTGGGGTGGGATTTCGGGATATGGGGCCGTTTGAGATGAGAAGTTCCCGAGGGAATCCCGTGCCTCTGCCATGCATTGAGGTGCTTTTTTAGGCGCCTCAAAACCACCTCAATGCACGCGGATTTCGGGATTTGGGGTCGTTCGAGTTGAAAAGTTCCCGAGGGAGTTCCGTGCCTCTGGTGTGCGCCTTGTCGTTTGGGTTGGGATAAGTGTGGTTCTCAGGTGCTTTGATGTCAAGCTTCAAGCTCAATATGTTGGTGTCTCAATTGCGGCAGCGGGAGTTGCACGCTGCATGCCTGTTTTGGTTCCTTCATTCCATCTGCTGCCTCAGAATCTATGCTGCTGCTGCTGTCATGTCACCCCTCGATCACTGAGCATGATTCTGAACAATATCTATGGTTCTCTTTTCCAGATATCATTGTTCTGGGTCTCCTGTTCCTCCTCTCCCTCTTGTTTCTCCTCCCATTCTATCTTTCTGTCTCTCCTCTTATTCCCCCACCCCCTCCTCTTATTCGCCTCCCAGCCAAGGTGGACACGGTTGTGCCAGAGGAGTGGCTTGCAGACATGCGAGGTGAGCTCAGATGCCACGTTTTGAGGCGCCTCAAAACTAGACATGCGAGGTGAGTAATGTAGGTGAGCTCAGATGCCACATGCATGGACGGTGGGACCATCGTCTCAGGACAGCTAGTATCGTCTCAGGACAGCTAGTATCGTCTCAGGACAGCTAGTATCGTCTCAGGACAGCTAGTATCGTCTCAGGACAGCTAGTATCGTAGCTAGTATCGTCCATGAGTAATGTCGGTAAGATCCACCCACTCTCCTGAGTGGTCACTTGTTTGGTAGGTGGTAAGTAGGCAGGCAGGTGCCGTGTTTGTTTGGATGGCGTGCTTGATCTGATGGCGCGTTTGGTTTTACGATGTGATGTGCTTTTGAGGCGCCACAAAAGTTTTACAATGTGATCTGCTACCTGCATGGTAACCTGACGTCCGAGCTGAGCAGCTGTGAAAGCGCAGTGGTTGTGTTGAGCACTGCGAAGAAGCCGAGCCTCGGAGATTTAGGTCATGGCTGAATCACAATACGCTCGGCCCCACCCATCCCCTTCGCTTTCTCCATGTGTTCTGCATTCCCCCCCCCAGTGCCCAACACATACCGCCTGCAGGTGGCTCACCTGCGAGTGGAGAGGACAGTCAACGCCTTCAACCCCCTCGTCTTCGACCGCATTGTGAGTCGAGTCGCACACCTTTGTTTTTCGTTCTAAGAAAGATGCTCCATTTATTCGTCACGTTACTCCAGGTGCCTTGGGATTGCCTTCAAGCCCCTTGTCTCGCTTCACGAGATTGCTTCCATGCAAATATTGAAAAATCACGCCTTGAGTTGATGCACTCGTGACTAACGAAGAGTATTCGATAAGAAATCTCACTTTTTGTTCTCCCCCCACCCACCTCGCCCCCCGCTTTTTTCCTGCTCTATTTCCTCCACCTCCTGTTCCCCTTCCCCCTCCCTCCCCCTTTTCCCTTTCATCCTCCTACTCACCCGTTCGTCGTCGCCTTTACTGGCCACTCTATGTGTGGCGGCCTCCTACTTGCCTGTGCTTGCCACTCCTGCAGCCCTTGACCGTGCTCGACTTGTGGGAGGTACGGTGCCCTCAATGCCTCTCTTGCTGCTTCAAAATGCCTGCTGCTTCAGTGGTGCCTGATGGTTTGGTATAGATGGTTGATGCCCCATGCTGATCGATGTCTTTTGGCACCTCAACAAAAACAAACTCGCATCAGAGCTGTGACGCTTTGTTCGTTTCTTCTTCTTTCCCCCAATCTCTGTTCAATCACTCCTTGCCCCTCCCCTGTCATCTCCATCTTCCCCCTTTTTCCCGGCCTTCTCCTCCCAGCATTCCTACCTCTCAGACTATCCCGATAACAGGTCAGCTTATGTGGAGGCGTTCTTGCAGCAGCTGATGTCATGGGATGCAGTGGCGGCACGAGTGGACCGGGCCAAGTCCCTCACCAACTTCTGGGAAATGCCTGCTCCTCCTGACGCCTTCATCCGCCCAGGATTCGTTGCTGACCGTCCGATCCCACTCGATGCTCTCAAGAGCATCAAATGACCGCTTGATGTGGTACATTTAGTGTAGACTTAGGATGTGGTTTTGGATATATGTTGATGGCATGCAGATTCACAATGAAGAGTGTTGTCTGAAAGTTTTGTGAATAAAATAAGTGATTTCGTCGCTCATAATGATCCCATAAATGTTGTATTGCCGTACCTGGCAAGCGCGGTGTTGATGAGTGAAGAAATTGTGCTAGAAGAGGCCACTAGTTGGGGAAATAACAAGAAAAGTTAGCACCGGTGCGATTTGTATTTCAGCTTCAACCGGATTGGTTGGTAACGAAGCTGTCGCGCCAAATCATCGCCGAAATTGCTCCCCTGTCAGACATCCATCGATATCGCCGCCGAGCTGCTGCTTTGCTGTGGATTCAGTCACTTGCCAAACACCAAGTCGACGCTATACGATACGGTGCAGAGCGGTCACGTTTCTGTGCGTTGCATTCAGAGCTTCATGGTATATCGTGTCAGGCAACATCTGCAAAGCAGAATCTGCAACACAACACCTTGCCTAATCGAGGCCCAGCCATTCTGCAAAGCTCTATTCCCTACGTTTCTTTCTTTCTTTCCCCGTAGCGCTCTCCGCCATTATCGAAATAATGGCGGAGCAGCAGTCCCAGCAGCAGCAGCACATGTCGCAGCAGCAGTCGCAGATGTCGCAGCAGCAGTCGCAGATGTCGCAGCCGTCGCAGCAGCAGATGCAGGAGCAGCTTCAGGCGGCGTTAGATCGTCTCCTATTGGCCAACGACCCCGCGGCTGGGCAATGGCTCGGCGCGTTTCAGCAGTCGCAGGAGGCCTGGCAGGTCACGCATTCCATCCTCGCTAGTGCTGCCTCGTCACTAGCATCCTCATCCGCGCAGACGCCACAGGGAATGTCGCCGTCTGCCAATGCGTTGATCCTGTTCGCCGCGCAGACGCTACGATCTAAGATTCAGCTACAGCTGTCGGCTCTTGATTCGTCAGCGCGAGCCGCGCTGTTATCCGCTCTCTTCTCCCTCTTCCAATCATTCTGCTGCGTACCCAACCAGCATCAGGTAACCAAGATGAGGTAAATAGCACCAGGTGACAAGCATAGGATAAGTACCATGAAATAACCAGAATGAGGTAACCACCTAGTAGGTATACAACGTCAAGTAGTAACCGGGTTACCACATGAATGAGCCAGGTGATCACCAGGTGGCCACATCGTGTGCACATCTCCTTCCCCTTTCCCCCCGGCCCTTTTGCCCCCCGGGCTTCCCCCCACCCGCCCCCCTTTCCCCCGCCCCCTTCCCCCCCGCCTCCCAGGTTCTCCTTCAAATCTGTGCGTCCATCTCAGCGCTTCTCCTCCAATCGCCAGGCACAGCGGCTGACCTGGAGGCCAGGCTGGCAGCTGCCACGTCAGCAGCGGAAGGCGGAGGGGGAGGAGGAGGGGAAGGGGGCGCGGGGAACGTGTGGGGGATGATGGGGGGAGTGGTGGAGCTACTGGGGGCGGTGGGGGACGAGTGCACGGACGAGCAGCGGTGGTCCGTGGGGGTGGTGACTCTGCAACGCAAGCACGTGTTCGCCATGGAGGTGGGTGAGTGGGGAGAGAAGTGGGGGGGTTGGAGGGGGAGGGGGAAGTGTGCGTGGGATGATACAGGGAACGTGGGTGTGGTGGTGACTCAGCAGCGCAAGCACGTGTTCGCCATGGAGGTGAGTGAGTGGGGAGAGAAGGGATATCTGGGTCTACTTGAAAATCGCAACACTCATTCAAGAGAAGGGATATCAGGATACCCATGTTCCGCACGGAAAGGTGTGGGGGTGGTGACTCTGCAGCGCAAGCACGTGTTCGCCATGGAGGTGAATGAGTGGGGAGAGAGAAGCGATCTCTGAGTCTACTTGAATGTCACACAGGGTGTTCTGCAGGGAGGGGAGAAGAGGAAAGCAGGACTGGGGGGCGGGGTTGGGGGAGAGAGCAAGGGAAGAAGTGAGAGGACGCCGCAAGCATTCCCGGTATGCAGTGAAGCTGCTTCAGTCGCCGTCACCCTCTCTGTTGTCCCCTCCACGACCCTGACGTTACCCTTCCTCTCACCCGTTCTCGCCCTTGCCCCCTCCCTGCCAATCCCTCGCTCGACCCCCCCCCCCCCCTTACCCCACCCCACTCTCTCCCCCTCGTCTCGCAGCTGCTTTCACACGGCAAATTCGTCGCCACACTGCTCCAGAAGGTTTCGTCACTGTCACTCTCAGCACTGTCACACTCCCAAACAGCAGCAACAGCACCATCACCATCAACATCGCTAGCACCAGCAGCAGCAGTGGAGCGGTCCGTTGCCCTGAGCCTGCTGCACAAGACCCTCCGCTGCCTCTTCTCATGGGTACGTGTGTGGCAGCATCGCCGCCTCTGTTTCTATATTTATTCATTTATGCTTACTGTGGCAATGCTTTCATGAGTCTTGCCTGTTTATAAGGCTCAGTTCAGCCCTCAAGCAAGTGTGTGTCAGTGTCATTAGCCAGGAAGGCATCAGCCACGTCAGCACTGCTCCTCCAACCTTCTGCTCCCACATCCACCCTTCCCCTTTTCTCTTCCACCATGCCATGCCATGCCATGCAAGCCGTTCCACTTTACCATGCGAGCTCAGCTTATTCAACCTCATATGGCCATGCGCTTTTTTGTTTTTCAAGTGAAGTTTTGAGGCGTCTCATGCGCGCTTTCATCTCTCGCCCCTTCCTCCCTTTCCTCTGCCTTCCTCTCCTCTTTTTTCGCCCTCCCTTTCTTTTCCATCTCCCAATGCACTTGTGCTTTTGTGAAGGTTCGGATTGGTTTCTTGACGGACCTGTTAGCAGCTGACACGTGGCAGTCACACGTGCTGCCATTGGTGGAGCTGGCCGTTGACTCCCTCCAGGTATGTACTTGGTCCACGTGTGCACGAAGGCGAGGGGAGGAGCGAGCAAAGGGAGGGAGGGGGTAAATGTGGTTGAGGGAGTAGAAATGGGAGAGAGGGAGGAACGAGACACAGGGAGGACATAGGTCTTTCTTCATAGACCAAAAGGAGAACATAGGTCTTGTGCTTCCTCCACTCGTGCATGTGTGTCAGTTCTCCACTTTCCAATGCTCTCAATCTCAAGCACCTCTTCTTCCCCATAACCCCCATCATTCCATGCCATGCATCGCCCCATGCCATGCATTGTCCCATGCCATGCATCGCCCCATGCCATGCATCGCCCCATGCCATGCATCGCCCCATGCCATGCATTGTCCCATGCCATGCATCGCCCCATGCCATGCATCGCCCCATGCCATGCATCGTCCCATGCCATGCATCGTCCCATGCCATGCATCGTCCCATGCCATGCTTCGCCCCATGCCATGCATCGCCCCATGCCATGCATCGCCCCATGCCAAACATCGTCCCATGTCATGCATCGCCCCATGCCAAACATCGTCCCATCCCATGCATCGCCCCATGCCATGCATCGCCCCATGCCATGCATCGCCCCATGCCATGCATTGTCCCATGCCATGCATCGCCCCATGCCATGCATCGCCCCATGCCATGCATCGCCCCATGCCATGCATCGTCCCATGCCATGCATCGTCCCATGCCATGCATCGTCCCATGCCATGCATCGTCCCATGCCATGCATCGTCCCATGCCATGCATCATGCCATCCCATGACACGCAACCCACCAGGAGCCAAGTCTGTGCGAGGTGGCAGCAGAGGTGGTGGGCGAGATGGCCAGTCGGCACGAGGTGAGGGAATATGGGGTGAGGCACAGGATGAGTGGATGCATGGGGTGAGGGCAGCGGATATGGGGTGTATACATGGGCTTACGTGACCGGCAACCCACCAGGAGGCGAGTCTATGGGAGGTGGCAGCAGAGGTGGTGGGCGAGATGGCCAGCTGGCACGAGGTGAGGCACGGGGTGTGGTGGGGAGGTGAGATTATGGGGTGAGGTGACTAAGGGAGGGCAATGGGTGGGTGAGGTGAGGATACATACCTACCGAGCTGACTTTTGAGACGTCTTAATGGCGGGGTGAGGATAGATGCATACGGAGCTGCGAGTTTCGTTTGAGACGTCTCAAAACTCAGAGCTGCGTAACGACCAACCAGTGCACTGTTTCCTCAAATAAAAACCACTCCCCAGGTTACAAACAAGCAGCCGTCTTTTGAGACATCCCAAATCTCATCCTTGACATGCCTCTCCTTGTTTCCCCCCCCCTCCCCCCCCGCTTGCACTGCCTTGCCCCCTCCTCTCCCGTTCCCCTCCAGCCCCTACTCCCAACCATCACCCCGCACCTCCTCTCCTCCTTCTCCCAAGCCGCCGCCACCCACCCCGACGCCTTCCCTCCTCTCGCCTCGTCGCCCTCCAACGCTACTGCTGCTGCTGCTCTGCCTGCGCCACCACTCTCCAGTGCCGCTGGCACAAGCAGCATGGATGAGGAGGAGCGGGAAAGGCTGGTGGCTGCTTTTGCGTCGGCCATAGCAGATGTTGGCCTGGCGGTGAGTAGCATTCTGAGTATGTGAGAGGGAGGGGGGCGTTTGGGAGCAGGGGTGGGGTTTGTGGGCTGGTTTGTCGCCAGTGCTGGTGTTGGTGCTGGCATTAACAAAAGCAGGGGGAGTGGATTCTTGCTGTTTCTGCATCTGCTGCTGTTGCAGATTTTGATGTGGATGCGAGTGTTTGAATAAACAAGTTGGAACATGTTAGCCCAGGGAGGTTCGGATATTGGGTGTGCAAGAGGGATGTCGGGGGAAGGAGAACGATTCAGGCGTTTTTATCTCCAATTTCTTTTTTCCTCCAAAGACTAAAAAGTGTTTAGTCATTAAAATTGTAGTATTCGCATTGAGACACCCAGCTCGAGTGCCTGCCTGTCACATGGTACTGGTTTGCATCGCACGCTAACCATCACTCCATGCATGCGCCACTGCGCACATACATGCACCATGACTTCATTCATTCATGCACCACATGCCGCAGGGCCCTGCGCACGCGCAGTTTTATCTTAGGCGCCTCAAAAATCACCTACATGCACCATGACTGCATGCGTGCACCATGACTGCATGCGTGCACCATGACTGCATGCGTGCACCATGACTGCATGCGTGCACCACATGTCACAGGGCCCTGCACACGTGCTGCTCTCGCCTCACCTGCGTGACCCCTTCGCCACCGCAGCCTTAAGGTTTGCTCCTCCCTCCCACTGCCTTGTTCCTCTGAACGCCTTGAGTTTTAAGGCCTTGAGGCTCACTCCGCCCTGCCCTCACTCGTCGCCTCAGACCACTGCTGCCTCGACCTATCCTCCCTGCTGCTGCTGTCATTGATCCCTGTCCCCCCTGTTACTGAGCATGATTTCTATCTAGCCTCTCTGCTCTGGAATTGTCTGCAGCTTGCTGGAGCTTGCTCTTTGATGGTCTGGCCTGTTGCATTTTTCTTTCTTCCCACACACTCTTAGCCACACACTCTTAGCCACACACTCTTAGCCACACACTCTTAATCACTGTCTTTCACCCTGCATCTCCACTCTCTTTCTTACCCACTCCATCCCTCCAACCCTCCTTTTCAGGTGTGCGTCTGTCTGCTCCTCCGATCATCGAATCGCCATTTCTCTTCTGCCGCTCTGGTGAGCACATTGTGCCACTCGGCGTGCACTTAGTCATCGTCTCACCATCTCTGCCTGTACTGGCTCACCATCTCTGCCTGTACTGGCTCACCATCTCTGCCTGTACTGGCTCACCATCTCTGCCTGTACTGGCTCACCATCTCTGCCTGTACTGGCTCACCATCTCTGCCTGTACTGGCTCACCATCTCTGCCTGTACTGGCTCACCATCTCTGCCTGTACTGGCTCACCATCTCTGCCTGTACTGGCTCACCATCTCTGCCTGTACTGGCTCACCATCTCTGCCTGTACTGGCTCACCATCTCTGCCTGTACTGGCTCACCATCTCTGCCTGTACTGGCTCACCATCTCTGCCTGTACTGGCTCACCATCTCTGCCTGTACTGGCTCACCATCTCTGCCTGTACTGGCTCACCATCTCTGCCTGTACTGGCTCACCATCTCTGGCTGTACTGGCTCACCATCTCTGCCTGTACTGGCTCACCATCTCTGCCTGTACTGGCTCACCATCTCTGGCTGTACTGGCTCACCATCTCTGCCTGTACTGGCTCACCATCTCTGCCTGTACTGGCTCACCATCTCTGCCTGTACTGGCTCACCATCTCTGCCTGTACTGGCTCACCATCTCTGCCTGTACTGGCTCACCATCTCTGCCTGTACTGGCTCACCATCTCTGACGGCTCGCCTCCTGTCCTGACCATCTTCTTTCTCTCGACTTGTAACTCTCCTCCTTGCATCAACCTCACCTCACCTCATCCACTCCCCTCCTCCTCCCCACTTCCTCCATCCCTGTCATTCCCAGGTCAGGCCTGAGTGAGTTCGTGTCCACCCCTGGTACCTATTAGTCGACCTAAAAGTATCCTCGCAAATTCATTTCTGAGGTGCCTCAAACATCTCTCTTTCCATCCCTGTCATTCCCAGGTCAGGCCTGAGTGAGTTCGTGTCCTCGCGTCTCAACCCATCATCGCCCTCATCACCGGCTCTATCAGCCCAGGACGCAGCAGCAGCACACGCCATTCTCCTCGCCGCCCTGCCTCTCTGCCTCTCGCATGCCAAGGTGGGTCATGACAGGGGAGTGGCAGGGGGCAGGTGGCAATATTGGAAAACCGAGGGCATGTAACAGTGCCACTCCCACGCCAGCGCGGTTTATCCCATCCCTTTCAGTACCTGCTCCGTTCACACCCTTTTGCTCCACCCATTCCTCCCTGCCAACCAAAGACCCACCGCCAGCAAGAGCTGCAGCAGGAGAGGCCATGCCGAATATCCATACCTTGAGCACGCTTTTGAGAGCTCATTATGATAGCTTGAGATACGGTATCTCACGTGCGCCTCTGGCCGTGCTCTTTTCCGTTGCTCTCGTGCCTGCACGCGTGCAGCTCAGCACGGCCAGAGTAGGCGGGGGAATGGCAAGCGAGCAGCAGCAGGAGGAGGAAGAGGAGGAGGATGAGGCGGAGGCAGCGGTGGAGGATTATCGGGAGCAGCTGGAGGAGACGTTGGTGGACGTGATGAGAGCAGTGGGGGCGGCGAACTACCTCTCATGTGTGAGTGCTGCTGGGGTCTGAGGTGAAACAAATCGTGTGTGCTCAAAGTGACAGCAGCAGAGGACTACCGGGAGCAGCTGGAGGAGACGTTGGTGGACGTGATGAGAGCAGTGGGGGCGGCGAACTACCTCTCATGTGTAAGTATTGCTTGGTCTCACGTGATACATTCCGTGTTTCCTCTGATTTTTCTAAGGGAGTTTGAACACTAAGACGCGGCGGAGGCCTACAGGGAGTGGAGCAGCTGGAAGAGACGTTGGCAGATGTGATGAGAGTGAAGAGCTTGTGTTTGAGTCGACCCAAAACACGACTCAAAACACGACTCAAAGCACAACTCATTTGAGTCGACTCAGAACACGACTCAAAGCACGACTCATTTGAGTCGACTCAAAACACGACTCAAAGCACGACTCATTTGAGTCGACTCAAAACTGGACACCAAGAAGCAGCGGAGGCCTACAGGGAGTGGAGCAGCTAAAAGAGACGTTGGCGGATGTGATCAGTTTGGACGTGATGAGAGCGAATGGCTGGAGCTCCAGTGCTGAGTGCTGCTAGATTCCTCTCCTGTGTGAGTATGGCTGGGTATGATTCGTGTGGGAGATGCAGCTTGATTGGTCTGGCGGATGTGATTGGATTTGTGCAGGCAGTGCGATTTGATCCTTGTGTGTGTGAACCATGACTTGAGTCATGTGGGGGGCTTGAACTGACTGCAGGCGCTACAAGCCACCTTCAAAGATGTCCATTCTGCCTTTCCTGCATTCTGCCTTTCCTGCATTCTGCCTTTCCTGCATTCTGCCTTTCCTGCATTCTGCCTTTCCTGCATTCTGCCTTTCCTGCATTCTGCCTTTCCTGCATTCTGCCTTTCCTGCAGCCCGCACCCGTGGTTCCCCTTCCCCCATCCCTGCCGTCTGCTGTCTGCCCTGCTTGCAGGCACCACCGGTCCTGCTAGCCTCTCCGCCACCCCATCCCCGAGTTTACTTTCAAGTCGAATCAAAAGTCAAATTGCCCGCACCTATGGTCCCACCTAACCCCCCCATCCCTGCTGTCTGCCCTGCTTGCAGGCGGCACCGGTCCTGCTAGCCTCTCCCACCCCCCAACCGCACCAACTGCTTGCCGACGTTTCAGCACTGGAGCTGCAGCTGTTCGCCTCTCAGGCCGTGAGTGGCAGATTGAGCAGAGAGAGAGTGAATTGTATCTTCCTCCGACTGTGCTTGTGAGTGAGCGAGTGGGTCTCTCCGCCCCCTCAACCCCACCAACTGCTTGCCGACGTTTCAGCACTGGAGCTGCAGCTGTTCGCCTCCCAGGCCGTGAGTGGCAGTGTAGTATTAGTGAGTGAGTGAGTGAGTGAGTGAGTGTGTGAGTGAGGGAGGGAGTGGCACACCGAGCAGCGAGCGAGTGAGTGAGTGTGTGAGTGAGTGAGGGAGGGAGTGGCACACCGAGCAGCGAGCGAGTGAGTGAGTGTGTGAGTGAGTGAGGGAGGGAGTGGCACACCGAGCAGCGAGCGAGTGAGTGAGTGTGTGAGTGAGTGAGGGAGGGAGTGGCACACCGAGCAGCGAGCGAGTGAGTGAGTGTGTGAGTGAGTGAGGGAGTGGCACACCGAGCAGCGAGTGAGTGAGTGAGAGCATGAAAGAGTGGCACACTGAGTTGTGAGTGCATGTGCATGTGTAGCAGATTGCAACCCGTGTTGCTCCATGCTCTGTGCTAGCATCCCAAGCCAAGGTACTATTGTGTGTGCTTGTATGCCGCAAAACCTAGAAAATAATGTGTGTGCCCCATATGATGTTTCTTTGAATGCCGTGTTGCAGGTTGGCCAGGTGGCGGATTCTGATAGGCCAGTGGACGCGGCATGGGCATGTCAGGTTCTAACAGCAGTGGCTGCCGTTGCTGCTGCTGCTGCTACAGCTCCCCAGCCTTCCATTGCTCCCCGGTTACAACCGTGGGTGAGTGGCGTTACAACCGTGGGTGAGTGGCGTTACAACCGTGGGTGAGTGGCGTTACAACCGTGGGTGAGTGGCGTTACAACCGTGGGTGAGTGGGATAAAAGGCGACAAGAGGCGTGTGGTGCTACAGGAATAATTGGGTCAAGAGTCAGCCATATCTGCTGCCAGCCAGCATTGCCAATGCCACCCACTGCTGCTGTCCTTCCTGCATCTCCCCATGCCTCCATGCTGCTCTGCTGCCATGGGTACATGGGATGCACATAGAGCTATGCCCCCATCACATGTCTGTATCACATGCCATCTTTCCATCGCATGCCCCCACCAGATGCTCCCATCACATGCCACCATCCTATCGCCCCCTCCCACCACCCCATGCCATCACCCCATCCTCCGTCTCAACAGGTAGTAGGACGTATCTCTCCTTCCTCCCTCGATTTCTGAGGCGCCTAAAAAGTCTCCCCATCATCCTGTTTTGAGGCGCCTCAAAAATCTCCTCATCATCCTCCGTCTCAACAGGTGCATCGAGCAGTGGCAGCCAATGTGTTGGTGTATCTCTCCTTCCTCCCTCGCGTGCCGGCCATCGTCCCTGCCTTGCTGTACGTCCCTTCTCTTCCCTTCCCTTCTCTTCCCTTCCCTTCCCTTCCCTTCCCTTCTCTTCCCTTCCCTTCCCTTCCCTTCCCTTCTCTTCCCTTCTCTTCCCTTCCTCTCCCTCCCCAAACTTTTTCGTTCCTTCCCATCCCTTCACATCTTCCCCCATTCGTCACCGTCATCTCCCCTGACCCCTTACATTCTTCACAACTCTGCCTCTTTTGCTTTCCCATGCAGATCTGTTCCCCCTGCCCGCACAACCCCTCTCTCTCGTAAACCCCACCCCAGCAAGCTGGCCTGGCAGGATCCACGCCCACTCCCATGCCTGCAAGGAGCGGCAGAATGAGCAGCAGTATTCGTTCGAGACGTCTTAAAACATGCTCCCCCTCCATCCGACCTCCCTGCCAGGCAATCCCTCTCGCAGGGGCTGCTGCCTCCCACATCGCAGCAAGCAGGCCCCGCTGGAGCCACGCCCACACCTGCAAGGGGCGGCAGGAGGATCGGCAGAGGTAGTAGCAGAGCGAGCGAGCAGGCCACGTCGGCGTGTGCTGCTGCGCTCTGCGCTCTGTGTGAGGCACACAATTCCGAGGAACCACCGCCTGCTGCTGCTGCATCAGCGTCGGAGAACGAAGGCTTGGCGGCACAGCTGGTGGCTGTGGGCGAGGTAAGGGGTCTTTTGAGGCGCCTCACAAAGAGCTCTGCACTGTGTTCGGTACCTTTTGAGGCGCCTCAAAATGCACCTCAGCTGCTGGCTGTGGGCGAGGTAAGGGGTCTTTTGAGGCGCCTCACAAAGCCGACTCACTACACGCGGTTTTTTTAGACGCCTCACAAAGCCGACTCACTACACGCGGTTTTTTTAGACGCCTCACAAAGCCGACTCACTACACGCGGTTTTTTTAGACGCCTCACAAAACCGACTCACTACACGCGGTTTTTTTAGACGCCTCAAAAAGAGCTCTGCTCTGCACTGTGTTCGGTACCTCACCACCACAAATCCAATCCACCTCTCCCTTTCTTGCTCTGTGATGACTCTCTTAACATTCTTTCTCGCTAGGAAAGGGAAAACGCACTACTCACTCTATTGCTCATTCCCCCTCTCCCCCTTCCTCCAACCCCCGCCCTCACTCCATTGTTCTCTCAACCTCTTCACCTCCCTCCACTTCCTTCCTCCACCCCTTGCAGACCCTACACCTGGCGCGCCTACAGCCGAAGCAGGAGGCTGACATCATCACAGCAGTAGCCTCCTCCATCTCCTCCCTGCCACCCTCCCACCTGCTGCTCGCGCTGCAGCGATTGCTGCACCCCGTGCTTGCAGCTTTGCACGCATTCTCGGTATGTAATTCGCTTGTTTTTGAGAATTCTCAAAAACGCGCTGCAGCGATTGCTGCACCCCGTGCTTGCAGCTCTGCACGCATTCTCGGTATGTAATTCGCTTGCTATACCGTCTGAGTCGAAGGTAGACCCCAAAACAGCAAAGCTTTAAGTTCCAACCAGAGGAACGGAACTCTCTCATTGCTCCACAAATGAGCTGTGCTGCTGACATGTCTGGAAGGGCCTCTCAGTACACCCACCAGCCATGGTCATTCAGTGTTTTTAAGATTATTCATTTTGTTTCTTTTCTTCTCTTCTCTTCTCTTCTCTTCTCTTCTCTTTCTTTAACGGTCTCATTCTCCCTGCTTTCATCCACCCACACAACCCGCCAGCAGCAACAACCGACCAACAAGAGCTGCTGTGAGGCTGCCGCTTCCTTGACCAGGTGAGGCATCTCTTTCCCCCAATGTTTCTTCAAGCGCCTCAAACATCGCATCAAAATTTGCCTCAAATGTCATTCTTGTCCTATGCTGCTGTGAAGACAACTATGCTGCTGTGACGCTGCTACCTCCTTGTCCAGGTGAGGCATCTCCATTCCATCCAACAATGGGAAGCAGTGTATTTTGGAGACGTCTCAAAGATACACTTTTTACACGTGGCATCTCCATTCCATCCAACAACACTTTTTACACGTGGCATCTCCATTCCATCCAACAACACTTTTTACACGTGGCATCTCCATTCCATCCAACAACACTTTTTACACGTGGCATCTCCATTCCATCCAACAACACTTTTTACACGTGGCATCTCCATTCCATCCAACAATGGGAAGCAATGCCAAGACGCAAACTCGTGGATACAGCTCCTGCCTGCTCAGCTTCTGCTCAGCTCCTGCTCAGCTTCTGTTGCAACCCCTGTTCGGTTTCGACTTGTGTTTTGCCTCCTGCGTCAACACCACACACTCATTGTTCAAGAAACTAAACCATACCCTTCCCCCCCCCAGGCTCACCATTCTCTTGGAGCACATTCACCTACCATCACCCGAGGTTCAGAGGCAGGAGGACCCTCACCTGCCACAATACCTTCAGCAGCTGGCCCCCTCGCTACAGTCACACCAAATGCAATCACCGGATCAGCCACTTCTACAACCAGCGGAGACACGTGGGGGAATCCAGTCGTTCCTTCTGTCTGCCTGCTGGCCGCATTTGCAATTCCTCCTTTCCCTCCCCTCCTCCTCCTCTTCTTCCCCCACTCTCGACCGTGATGCCCTGACCTCTGCGGTGGCTGCTGCAGCCCGCTGCCTTGCTCCACTCGCCACGCTCTCAGGTGATCTGCACTCTGAGTGCATTTTTTCGCCTCTTATCTCACCCACCAGGCCCAACCTTCCTCCCCTGCAAGTTTTGAGACGTCTCAAAACTCAAAACTTGAGACGTCTCAAAACTCAACTTTTTCCCCTCTTTTCTCACCCACCAGGGCCAACCTTTCTCCCCTGCACCCACCCCGTGCTCTCTCCAATCGCCTGCATGTACCATGCCTTGTCTCGCCTATCCACCATCTCTGTGCCTTCTTCTCTTGTTCAAACCGTCTCTAACTCCTTCCCTTCCCCATCCCACCCCATCCCATCCCACCAGGTCCATCCTTCCTCCCCTGCACCGAATCCGCCCTCTCCTCCCTTCAATCCGCCTTCTCTGCATCTGGCCCACCACCCGCCCCCCTCTCCCTCTCTCTCTGCCCGCCCATCCTCCGAACTACCGAAACACTCCTCTCCCTGCAACCACTCACTACTGCCGATCAGCTCCAGTTCAGCACAGCCCGCGCCACGTCAGCGCTGATGTTCTTCGTGTCAGCACCTGCCAGCATGGCACTCAAGGCCCCCAAGGGTGCGGAGCAGCAACCAGAGCTCGCGGAAGCGCTGTTGCACTTAGCAACGTTTCTCCTCAACCTCGTGCCGCCTGCTCACATGGTGAGCCACCAAGCTCTCCTCTCCTCCCCTCCCCTCCCCTCGCCCCCTTCCCCTCCCCTCCCCTCCCTTCCCCTCCCCTCCTCCCCTTCCCCTCCCCTCCCCTCTCCTCCCCTCCCCTCCCCTCCCCTCCCCTCCCCTCCCCTCCCCTCCCCTCCCCTCCCCTCCCCTCCCCTCCCCTCTCCTCCCCTCCCCTCCCCTCCCCTCCCCTCCCCTCCCCTCCCCTCCCCTCCCCTCCCCTCCCCTCCCCTCCCCTCCCCTCCCCTCCCCTCCCCTCCCCTCCCTTCCCCTCCCCTCCCCTCCCTTCCCCTCCCCTCCCCTCTCTTCCGGTTCCATTCATACTAGGGCCAGCACGACCCCTTCCCATTTGTCACTGCAATCATATTCCTCAACTCCGCCCGCCTTGTCCTCTTCTCCCCTCTCGCCCCTTCCACTGCATGCAGGCCTCACATCCCTCCCCCCCCATGCTCCCACCTCTGCTCCCACCTCTGCTCCCACCTCTGCTCCCACCTCTCTCCCATCCCCTGCAACTGGCACCACATGCCTGCTTCTGTCCCCTTCCATCTCTCACTGCAATCAGCTCTTCCTTCCCTCTTATTCCGCGTTTAGTGAGTCGATTTTTTTGAGTCGACTCAAAAACGACCTCAATGCACTGCAATCAGCTCCTCCTTCCCTGTTATTGCAATCGCCAATATCCCTCCTTTCTCTCCCGACCATTCACCTACCTGCAGGCTTCAGACCCCTCATCGCCCGTGCTCCTACCGCTCTCCAATCTCCTGCAAGTGGCAGCACGGGGATGCACAGCAGCACACAGAGGGGTCTCCGCCTCCTCCTTCGCCTTCATCTCAGGTGGGTTGCATCACGCTCCTGATTCCACGGCAGCACTGGCAGGACCAGCAGCACGGGGCAACACAGCATGGCAGCACACAGGGGGGTCTCTGGCTCTTCCCTCGCCTTCATCTCAGGTGGGTCACACACCTAACTCGCTCCGTAACACACCATGTCACCTTCCTTCGCCTGCAGGGAGGTCTCTGCCTCCCCCTTCACCTTCATACCGGGCTAGTCAATGCCTATCTCGTTCCCCGCTTGCCCTCTATCTCATGTAGTCGACTCAAAAAGAGGTTTAGGAGAGGAACTCTAGAGGTGCTCTGTTTTTTAGTCGACTCAAAAAGAGGTCTTGGAGAGGTGCTGTAGAGGTGCTCGTGCTCTCCAGAGGAGGAAAGGGTGCTGTACGGTACGGAGGACTCGGGGAAACACGGTGTCATCCCCTCGTTGACTCCCATGCCAAAACACTGTTGCACTCGCCTACCCCTCCGCTCGTTACCGTCCCCACCTCCCTGCGATTGTCGTTGCACACTCTCGCTCACTCCAACCCTCGTGAGAGCGGGAACACAGCAGGCCAAGTTTTGAACACAGCAGGCCAAGTTTTGACTTTCGAGGCACCTCAAAAATCATCTCCCGCTTTGCTCGCTCGCTACCACCCCGCCTCAATATTGTCACACACACCAGCCTTGATGACAGCAGGGACACAGCAAGCGGGGCTTCTCTCGTTACAGTCACATTCACAGCAGTCGGTGCCTCCCCTGGTGCAGCTGTGCACGGCACAGGGCGCTCTGCTCTCCCACACACTCATCGCCGCCCTGCTGGGTCCCAGCGCTGTTTCACGGGTACGTTTCCTCTGTGCTCTTGCACTGCCGTGTGATTTTTTAGTCGACTCAATAGTCACCTACGGGTACATTTACTGTGTGCTCTCGCACTGCCGTGTGCGCTCTGCTCTGTGCTCTGGCGCTATCTCTGCATCTACCTAAATGCTATCACTAAAGTGTGAGCCTGCTGCAGCAACTCCCAAAAAAACTCTAGAAGACGAGTTCCGTCACAGTTGAAGTGTGAGCCTGCTGCAGCAACCCTTCCACGTGTGCTGCTCAAAAGTCTCCCGTTTCCTCTCCTTCCCCTCCCTTGCTCCCCACCAGGAGCAACTCCTCAACGTGTGCTGCAGTGCAGTGCAGCTCAATTAGGCGGTATTTCTCACCCACAGGGAAGCACGCCAGGGTCAGCTGACGCTGAAGCTCACCTCCTTCCTCTCTCCTCCTCCCCTCCCTTGCTCCCCACCAGGTGCACAAGTGTGTGGGTCTGCTGCAGCAACTCTTCCACGTGTGCTGCTGTGCAACTCGCGCTGGCAGTTCCCCTCACGCACAGGAAAGCACGCCCGGGTCAGCACAAGCTGAAGAAGCAGCGGCGGCGGCAGCAGTGCAGGCAGCACTGGCCCCGATGCACCAATGGCTTGTGGCAGCGGTGGGTGGCAGGTTGGATAGCTGGCTGGCTGGCTGGGTGGTTGGGTGACTGGTTCGGGAGTTGGGGTCATGTTGTGTCAAAACGCCCCTTTGATTTTCCCATCCAATCATCTTGCAGACCGAGTCAGCTTTTCTAGTCACCTTGAGCATCATTTCTGTCCTTCTTTCCTCAATCTCCCACCCTGTTCATGCCACATCTCGTTTTCCTTCCCATGCCCATTCCACACCTCCCACACCTGTCACTGTCTTAGCTCTCCTCTGGCTTCCTCAGAGCATGAGAGGCAGAGGCAATCCCCCCCTGCAAGGTTAACAATCTTAATCCCTCGTTCGTATCCCTCCTTGCTGCTTGCCACTCTGCACCTGTTCCCCACACCAATCCTACATCCCCCTTGCCTCTCCCAGCTATCAGCCCTGCCGCCTGGCTTCCAGAGAGCACCAGAAGCGAGGCGACCATCCCTGCGACGTGATAAAATATTTGTTTTGAGACGTCTCAAAACAAATCTTTTATCAGAGAGCACCAGAAGCGAGGCGACCATCCCTGCGTGGCTCACCTTCTCAATCTCACGATCATCTCTGCTGGATTTTTTCTTTTAAAACTCTCGAGAAAGAATCCGCCTCCTTACACCTGTTTTGCCCTTGCATTTCACAGCTATCCGCCCTGCCGCCTGGCTTCCTGTGAGCACGAGAGGCGGAGGCAATCCTCCCTGCATGGCTCACATCACATTCTCAGTCCCTCTTCCACTTCCCGCATTGCCCCGTGCCACGCCCCGCTTGCTCCCACCAACAATCTTTCAGCTCTCCTCCCTGCCGCCCGGCTTTTTGAGAGCAGGAGAAGCGGAGGCAGTCCTCCCTGCGTGGCTCGCGCAGCTTGCCTCTTCTCCTCCGCCTCTCGCCGCTTTGTCATCTGAGGCTGAGTGGGGCAACACCCGCATGCTGAGACGGCTGCTGCGGAGCTTTGCGGATTCGCACAGGCACACAGCTGTCGGCGCATAAATGTTGGCGAATACTGTTGTAATGTTTTGGTACAGTATTTCAGACGTCTCGAGCATTACAATATCTTCCTTATAGCAGGAGAGTCGGAGGCAGTCCTCCCTGCGTGGCTCTCGCAGCTAGCATCTCACCGGTCTGGCATCCGAGGTTGATTGGGAGGACAGGACAGCACCAGCATTCTCAGACTGCTGCCGGGGAGCTTTGCGGATTCGCACCTGTACACAGCCGTTGGTGCACGAGAGCTGGCGTAACCCGTCGTAGTTCATTGTGTTGCGCGCATTCTTTATGCGGCGCTGGGATGCGAGTTAGTGTAGTGCTAGCAATGCAGCGGTGAGGTAGGTAAGTTGAATGCTGTTCCAATGAGCATCATCGCAAGCACCACTAAGAGCACAAACGAGTGCTAAAGGAGCTAGGAAATGAGAGAACATGAATGGCTACATGTTAGATAGTGATCTCAACGAGGACACAACATGATAAGGCCAGTGAGCTGGTGAAAGAGGTGTGTGAAGCTTCTGTTCAGTACTGCTTTGTTTTAGGTGTTGTGTAAGGTTCTGGAACATGAGATACCTAATACACCTACCCATATTTGCGACTCAGAACGAATTATTCAGAAATACGGTCGTGCTGCCGGGGCTGTTGGTCAGCCAAGTCGCAGCAAGCGTCAGATGCGGCACCTCTGTTACGTGCCAGTGACATCAGCCACTCACATGTGAAGGCGGAACTGTTGCACGAACCAGATCCAGGGTTCGTGCAATGCGTTCCCGGTTACGGGGCCACCAGCTGCGCCAGCATCGCCACGTGGATTTATTTCCTCACCGAGCCGCTCCACATTCCTGGACCAAGGGCGCTCAAGAGGCGCAGCACCGAGCCGCAATGTTGGAGCGAGTCAAACACGGCACGCAGACATCTTGCTTCGATTCGACTCATTGCTTGCGCCCCTCTTTCCAGCCACAAGCGCCCCATCCGCACCACACATTCACCAATCGCCACGCGCACTACACCATCCATTCCATAGTTTTTTTCTCCAATGGAAACAGTTCAGCCAAGGCATGTGTGATTGCTGCGCCTGGATACTAGAAGGTCGTTCGACTTCGGTTCACAGAGATAGAACAATGTTCATAGTAGTTTTGACGGATTGGGTAAGGTTCCTGCCAAACTCTTCCTCGTTTTACCAAACATTCATCCCACCCAAGTCCTTTCCAAGTTCCAAGTTCCGTTACATTGAAGCCTTCGATTGGAGCACGCCCCCCCCACAGCAAGTTGCTGTGGTAGCTGGTTCAGGAAGTCTCTGTCCTTCACCTTTATCCACCTGTGCTGGAACAGAGCAGCTCGATTCGCGCTTGCCTTCACAGCACAGTGCACAAGTCGCCGCGGCATAGTTGGTCGAAGGCGGTCAAGGGACATAGCTCGACGAAGCGATCGAGCTCTGTTCAAAGCTATGAGGTGTCATGAGGTCCATACAATCCCTTATCACTCGTTCCAGGGTTCAACCAGGCGAGGTCCATTGTAATAGACCCCAGCGCGCAGAGCATCTGCAATAGTTTATTTTCCTTTATATATTTTCGTTTCTTAAACACACTGTAGTCGACTTGTAGGGTCTAACCAGCGCAGCGGGTCATAATCAACTCATGGAACGTCAGTCGCTTCGTAGCCGCCACCGGCTGAGTCTCCTCCATTCCCTCGATTCATTCTCCTGATACTTGCCTTTGCTCCAGTTCTTCCCCACTATAGTCATATAAGTACGCATTCTATCGTCTGCACCCTTCCCGTTACTGCAAAGATATAAAAATTAAAGATATATAGAAGTCAGCAGCGGTATCTCAGACCCTGTCAACGCAGTCCGAGGGGTGAAAATGGGGGCGGCCGCATCGGCAGAGCTGGTAGATGCGATCGGCGCCGCGCCGGGAGGAATGGCCGCTACGCATGCTTCGAGGAAGGGCGGAAATGCGCGGGCTTCCGCGAAGGTGCAGCCGGTGTGCGACGAGGGGGAGGACGATGCGATCGAGCGGAAAGCGCGGCAGCTGGAGCAGCTCAAAGACCGCGTGAACGCAGGTGAGGGCACGTGAAGGCAAGTGAAGGGGCGCAGGTGAGGGGGCGCAGGTGAGAGGGCGCAGGTGAGGGGTCGCAGGCACGGCGCGTGAACGCATGTACGGCGCTCTGAGGCCATTATTCGGTAGAAAGCAGCACCCCGACGCAGATAAGGCTCCGAGGATAAGGCGCCGCCGGCAGGGTTCTTTAGCGTGCACCTCCAAACGGTCTTATTATGCCGGACCCCGTCTCACGAGTGCGTCGCTGAAGCATCATGAGAGTTGCGACTCCCGACAATGCAGGCTCTCTATTTAGACCATAGCGCGCAATTTAGCCCTTACGACCGTTGCATCTTGTAGCGAGGGGAGCTTTTTCTCGAGGGAAGTGGTCACACCACTCTCGCCCTCTCCCTTTTCCTTTTGGTTTCCCTCCTTCCTCCTCACCAATCACGACCCCCTCCTCCACCTTTCCCCACCATCTCTCTTCCCTTCACCCACCTGCTTTCTGCCCCTTCCTGCGGCCAGCCATCGCGTCGGGTAGTCGTGTCAAGCAGCTATTGGAGGACGAGGTGCGGCGCGATCTGGGGCTGTCGGCGATTCGTCTGCGGTTCACCGCGAACGGCGCGCTGGAGCATTGTAGCTTGTTCTCGGAGCCCGGCGGCCGGCACGGCTGCAACCAGGACTCCATGATCGCGTGGGAGGTGCGTCACCCGTACCTACGACTTCTTACTTTTTACATCCTCTGCGTGTGATTTTTGATCCCGATATTAGCATAGTGCGGACACCGAGTAGTGACCTCACACCTCCCACCCATATTCCATCCTCCCCTTGCTTTCGAAATGTCTGGCTTTTATTCTCCTATTCTAGCCTTGAAATGTCTCAAAATCCCTCCTTCCACCCCCCAACCCCCTTTCTCTCTCGCCTAACCGCCTCGTAATTTTCCCGTCTCGTCTTTTCTGCTTTCCGCCAGGATTTTAACGTCCCGGAAATCGCGGGTCGCGTGAAAGGCCGCATGCCTCCTGGCGCCGCATCTGACGTCATCTTCTGTGCCGTATTCGACGGTCATGGGCCCAACGGCCACCTCGTTTCGCAGCGCGTGCGCGACTCGCTCCCGAGCCGCATCGCGTCGCTTCTCGCGCCGCCGCCGGTAGCAACCGTGTCGCCATACGGCCACCTCGACAAGAGCGCGCCGCTGATGGCGCCTGCAAGCGACCAGCTCTTACAGCGGCTCGGAGTTAATGGAGGCAGCAGCAAGAGCAAAGGCTCTTCGGGCAAAGTCCACCCTCTGGGAGTGGCTCCGGGGTACGGCGGTGGTGGCGACGGAGGGAGCGGAGGGTTCGGGATGACATTGCAGCGATCGCGATCTGCCAATTCGCTGGAAAATTCCGCGCCTCGGGGGTCCGTTTCACCGTATCACTCAACCCCGTCGTCAGCATCCTCTGCGGCGGCAGCGGCGGCGGCGGCGGTGGCCGAGGCGTCGAGGGAGGCGTCGAAGGCGCAGGTGGAGCGCGCGTTTCGGCGCGCGTTTCTGGAGATGGACGACGAGCTGCGCAGCCACCCGCACGTGGACGGCCACGTCAGCGGCAGCACGGCTGTCGTCGCTGCCCTGCTGGTGAGTTTCCTACCTTCCACGATTCAGTTACGGGCAAAAACGGCAGCGCCTGTGTCGCCGCTGTCCGTTACGTGGTCGCTTCCCAGTCCTGGACGGGATGCTCTCGTCCGAGTTTTTCATTTTTCGGTTCTCAAAAATGATGTCATGTGTGAAAAAATTGGACGGGGCGCCTTTGTGGTTTACCCTGCACTATCCGCCCGACCGGCGCGTTTTTCCCCACTCGCCCGCTCGTACGCCTGCTCCCCCCTCGTCTTCGCCTGATAATCAGGGCCGTCGATTGGTGGTGGCGAGCATTGGCGATTCGCGCGCAGTGTTGGCGTATCGTTGCAAGGCGGGCCACGCAGCTCCCGGGACCGCGCCCGCGATTAACGGCATGCAGTGCAAACCGCTCACCAACGACCACAAGTGCAGCGTCGCCTGTGAGTGGAGGGGGATGGGAACACAAGGGAAAGAGATTAAATGCGAAGGAGAGAGGGCCAGGGTGGAATAAGGGGGAGTGGGGGGAGAGGGTGGCATCATTGGCATGTTTGGCTGTGGTCAGCTTGTGGCTGTTGGCTCAAGGGAAGAGGAAGTTTTTTGTCAAGGCAATGTGCTGTTGGCGCATAATGTCTCTTGGGTTCGTCGCTGCGCGATTCAGAATTGTAGAATTCCGCACCGCGAACAACTACGTGCAGCTAGAGCTCCACTCTGGAATTAGAATCAGACTTCGTCATCCTTTTTTGCTTTCCTTCGCTATTGGCAGCCGAGCGAAAGCGAATTGAGCAAGCTGGAGGGCGGGTTCAGGCGTCGGAACATGAGCCGTGGACCCCGCGAATCTGGTTACCGCGTGAGCGAAGCCCTGGCTTGGTGCCCTCGCGAGCATTCGGCGACTTCGTGGTGAAGGATTACGGGGTTATTGCCGAGCCAGATATCCTGATTCGGCACCTCACTTCGGAGGACGAATTCATTATCCTCGCTTCAGACGGGGTGAGTCTTGTTATGGTGCTGGTTCAGCTTCGGATGCAGCTGTTTTCACGATACATGTTTTGCAGAGTGTATCAATGCTGCCAGTTCTCTCCTTTGTTTACATATTTAACCCCTTTCTGTGTATTCGTTCCCTCCTCACCTTCCCTTCATGCTTCATTTATTTGTGTCACTTTATATTCTGACAAACATTAGCTGGGCATGCCAACTGATAGAATCACCTTTCTGCTTTCCCATTGCTCCGCTCCCTTTGCCCTTCCAGCTCTGGGATGTCATGACTCCTCAGGAAGCCATGTCAGCAGTACTTTCCGCCCCAACCCGTCAGACCGCCGCTCGGCATCTCATCGCTCAGGCTCGCAGCCTCTGGGCAGCAAGGCACCAATCGGTCAGGCCTGACGATTGCACAGCAGTCGTCCTTTTCCTCCCAGAGTTCGCCCCTTCAGGCCTCCTCTCGAGCTCTACCTTGCCGCACTCCGGCCCCCTCTCTTCCACCCCTTTCTCTGGCCCTCTCTCCTCTACGCCTTATTCTGGTCCCTTGTCTTCCATCCCTCATTCTGCTCCGCTCTCTAGCTTCCATTCCTCTGGCCCCCAAGGTTACTCTCTGCTTCAGCAGCAGCAGCAGCAGCACTCCTCGTGGCAGCAGAATCCTAATCAGCAGCAGCAGCAGGTGCAGCTGCCGCCTCGGCAGTTCCTCTCCCAGCTGCCTATGCCTCTCCCTAACCTAACCTCCAGTGACATCAAGCCAGTCATTCCCATACCTGGCTCGCAGCGTCGGTTCCCAGAGCAGAGAGGCTCAGGATTAGCCCCGATAGGATCAGGTTCGGAGAACAGCTGGGAGGGGGGAGCAGGAGACGGGGCGGGAGGAGGGGGTGGAGGGGGCGGAGGAGGAGGGAGGAGGAAGAAGAGCAGCAGGAGGAAGTCAGGACGGAGGGAGGCCGGGCTCATGTCTCTCATGGGTGCGGTGGAGGAAGGCAACGAGGAAGGGAACGAGGAGGCTTTTGATGATACGGCGAGCATAGCGAGTATAGGCACCGTGTGCACGGACGCATCGTTTGGTACGGTGATCTACTCAGAAGCAGATTACAAGCCGAGCCGAATGGGCTCAGCAGAAGGGGTGAGCAATCCTCCTGTGGTGCTCACCCCTCCTATGTGTGAGGACGGGTTTTACCGCGATGATACCATCCGGGTGCCTGTGGAGAGGCAGGTGGAGAGGGGGACAGAGGGCGGGGAGAAGGAGAACATGGGGAGTGGAGATGGTGTGAGATCTGTGCTGGGAAACACAGGCCACGGCATGAGCAGCCAGGATAGCAGCAGCGGTGGTGCCAGTGGCGGCGTTGGTCTCAGCAACAGTGACAGCAAGGCAGTGAACCAAGGTGGCAATGGGGAGGGCAGGCGAAGTGTTCTCGGGCTGTTTTACAATGGTGAAGTTGCTGCCGCTGTTTCTGCCTCTGCATCTTCCTCTGCGTATGCTTCTCTTAACAGCTCCAAGGTGGTGCCCTTGCCACTTGAAGTCCACGCCAAGCATGCCCTCGAAAATCCTGGGAAACCACCTGGGAAAGCACCTGGGAATCCACCTGTGACCATCTCCATCTGCTCTGCTGATGGTCAGCTCCTGACACCTGATGCTCGAGTCATGGCACCTCCAATGCGCTCTCGGAGTCTTACTGCGTTGTCTGATTGCATGGGTGGTGGCATGGTTGGCACCGGAACCGCATGTATGGGTGCTGCCTCAAGGGAAGATCTGGGAAGCGAGACAAGCAGCAGCTGCACCGGCGGGAACAGCTATGGCTGCACGAGCACGAGGGTGGTGGATCGCTACGTGAGCCTGGAGAGCGGGGCTGCTGTAGAGGCAGGGGACGGAGCAGAGGGTGGGGTGGAGAGTAATCGGGGCAGCAAGTGGGGAGGCATGTGGGAGAGCAAGTGGGAGAGCAGCAGTGCAGGGTGTGGTGCTGCTATGCGGTATGCAGTGGCACAGCTAAGTTTGGACATGGTGTGGCACAAGTGCTGGCGCACAGAGCCATGACCCTCATGGCCTGTCCTGTCCCAACCCCACTGCTCCTCTTATCCTTCCCTTCCTCTGTCCTAAATCTCTCTACGTGCTGCTGTACCATTCAGATATATCTGCTTGTGATCCTACTAGTGGAATGGCTTAGGCACATAAATAAATAATGGATTTTGACTAAATGTGTGTAAACTTATTCAAGGCTGTGCTCACAAATTCTGCCATAGTTGGAAGCTCGATCCAATTGGCATAAATGGTTGAATACCTATGTTTTAAAGTAAATGTTAAATCATGCCTCCATATACATGTCTGTAAGGCTTATCGATTAAAAGTTAACGCACTGGCTAATTGTTTGTATAAGAGACGGAATCACTTGTGATCACCCCAATGAATCAGTTTGTTGGGCAGTATACAGTACCAGCATCTTGTGGACAGCCTGGATTCCGCGTCGCGCGGTCAGCAAAATAAACTGTATAAACGGATAAGATTTCTGGCTAGACCTTGTGCTTGTACAGTGTCAGCCTTGATGGGCTCAAGGTGCGGTTGGTGTTGATCACACTTCACCCCTCAATCTTTTTCCTCGTTTACTGAGCATTTCAATACTGGGCTGGTTTCAGGCTAGCAGCATTTAGATCGTTTGCTGCTGCCCGAAAAGCAACTTGCACAAAATTTACTATACGGCAGTGAAAACTTGTAGCGTGATCTTCCTCAATACATCATTCTTGTTTCCGACGGCATTCACGTATGTCCTCTCTTGGTTTAGCACGATAAAGATTGTAAACTGTAGTCTATGGGGGCGGGACAGGGCAGAATAGAAAAGTTTGATGTAGACACTGTAGTGCATTTATGTTGCGAGTAACGATCACAGATGTATGGTCAGCCCTTTCGTCCACGTTTTGGCTTCCTAGTGAAGCTGAAACGGATATGAATTTGCACTTACGAGGTGCATATACGGCCATGTCATCAAATCGCAATTCACGCTTCGAGCTTGCTCGGAAACGCTTGATCCCGATCGCCTTGTATCGCATTCATGATGCAACACGTCATCCCCTCCCCGCTTGCCAGACTGTCAACGACATAGGAACAGATCTCTTTTCATGAGGGTGTGGTCACAATTCAGAAGCCACACCGCCTCGGGTTTCGAAAGTGGCTAGGTGCTGACATGGACAAGGGTTTGGAAAGCGTAAGGAATCAAGTTCGCGGTTGTGAGGAGTAGGCGAAAGAAATGAGCGGATGAGGAGAGTTGGAGTGGAGGAAGTCGGTGCGCTGGACTCGGGTCGAGAGGACTTGGGGCTGGGGACCACTGGGGTGGTGATTGTCCCTCTGGCAGGCAGTTGGTGGCGCGTGGTTTTGATTCTACACCCTGTTTCGCGCTAGCAGAGCATCTGGTTGCAGAACATGCGCTGGTTGTAGAACGTCACCACGTTTGAAATGGTCTTATCACCGACGGTACAAGCACATTCACAAGAAAGCGGTTAGCTAGGATGCTGCATGGTAAAAAACATTAACCAAGCGTTTCAAAGCGGTTGAAAAGGGTATACAGCGATAAAGAAAAATTTTGCCCCCAGTACCACTCCGTCAGCTGGTGCGGCTTTGCCCGCAGGTTTCAGCCATACGGTTTATGGCACCTGACCGCACTGTAGCAGCGAATCGCGCAAGGTGAGAGGGTCGAGAAACAGGGTGTACTGTGGTGAGGAGGAAATAGATTCCGTTGAAATGCGCGTTGGCGCAGGGACAAGAGGGGTTGCACCACTGCGGCGCTGCGATGCCTGGATCGAGTGCGATTTCAGGCCCCGGGGAGGGGCAGAGTCGGGCGGAGGCGGTGGGGGCGGGAAGTGGGGCTGGCGGAATGATGGAAAGAATTGGTCTGGCTGGCTGCAGCTTCCTCCGCAAGAGCGGAGGAGGCGAGAGGGCTTCTCCCCAGCAGCAGCACAACCAGAGGAGCCACAGAAGCAGGAGCACCGTAGCTGATGAGGCACTGGCTGGGCAAGCAAACGACCAACGGATAAAACCAGAGGCTTCTCACATTCTGTCAACAGAAACTCAGGAGCCAGCCTTTCACTAGCCAGCTCAACCAGAACATCCTTCGCCTGCTTAGCGTCTAATCAGCGATAACACCACTCTACAGACTTCCTCTCAGCTATTACTTGGCGTTATTTATATTACTATGGATCACACAGGAACAGCCGCGGCCATCTCCTCGCCTTGGGACACAGATATCGACAGCCAATGGGATCGTTACACGTCTCTCTACCCCTCCACCCGCGCCGCAAACCTCTACGCCGGCGGCAGCGGCGCTAGCGACGCCGACGACTACGATTCCGACTCAGACCGTTATTATACCTCGCGGTTCTCCCTAGACTCGAACTCCTCGGACGGGAGTCGCGTCAGCAGCAGCGGCGCGTCGTGCTGGGAAGCCGAGCTCGCGTGCGACCCGGTGTGGGTTGACGACGCTCGTTCGCGAATTCGCAACGCGGCGCTCGCCGTGGTCGAAACGCAGCAGGCCGTCGCAGCGGCCAACTGGATGAACCGAACCTTCGAGGACTTTTCGCACGACTGCCCAGCGGAAGCTGATGCTGTTTGCGGCTGCCCGGCGGCCGCGCAGCCGTGCCAGCACGATGAGCTCGCCGCCTCTTTCCGCGCTAAATACGAATCAGTGAAGACTACTAAAGCGCGCCAAGCCGCCTCGCCTGCACACCACGCAAAGAAGGGATTCTTCGGCAAGACGAGCAAGCAGAGCAGCGCCGACGAAGCTTCGGAGAAGGTTTCTGTTTCCAGCAGCGTGGCAAAGGCGAAGGGCTCTCGCAAAGGCCTAGCTTCGTTCATCGCCGGATGGATGTAACCGGATGGATGTAACGGTCACAATCTAGCAGTTAATTACCTCGTAGGTAGCTACTCATACGAGGAGGAACGGCGACAGGTTACGGACGCGCTGGGCGCGTCCTGTGTTTCTGCCTCTTATCGTCCGACCGAAGGCGTGCTGCCATACTGCCCGCACATTGCGGTTAGAATTGTATTCAAATAGTGAATCCAGTTTGTAAGACTATTTTTGCTATCACACTGCCTTGGTAAAATTATGGAAGAGCTGCCTTGCTATCACATACCTTCTAAAACGTACGTTTACGCTTGTAAGAAGTCTCTCGTGGTAGAGCTTCTGTTGATACGGCTGGCAGCCGCCATAGGAAAACATCATATTACGATATGCACATGCATAAAAGTACATCACACATATAAGACAGCAGCTGAACAAGAATGTGGACTAAAAACTGCCCACACACTTGTCTGAACCATCAATAGAACATGAAGGTGTGTTTGGCAATAAAAGCGTGGTTGACCCATCAGTAGAGCACGAGGTATGGTCGGGCAATTAAGGTAGCAGAACGTACGCGTGCTTAACATGTCAGCAGAACATGAACGTGTGGTTGGGGGATTGCAGCATCCTGGTGCTTCTAGAAGATCCCACAATCCTTGCCAGCTATAATCATTAGATACGATTTTCCATCCAGCAAGACACACACACACACACACACCCCACAGTTGGAATAAAGATACGGTAAGATGAACGGGTGCTGTTATGTCAATCATCATGAGGCTGCCTTGAGAAGGCAATAGAAGATAAGAGCAAGAGGGCAGCAGGACAGAGGAGAGCATGGGCAGCAGGGAGCAGCGACAGTGTGAGTGTCCAAGGGAGGTAGTGAGGGGACTGACTTAAAGGTTTTCCAAGTGTGAGAAAGTGTGTGAGAGTGCATGAGTGGAGGGTGGCAGGGGGCTGACCTCGAGGTTATCAAAGCGAGTGAAGATGGCGGCGCAGGAGGCGTTGTCCACCCCTTCCAGCAGGTTGAGAATCTGCGATGAGGGGGGTGTAAGGAGAGACAGGAGAGGTTGGGGGTAGGGAAGGCAAGGGGAAGAGAGCGGTGTTAAGGGGCCTTTATGTGTCTTGTTGTCCAGCCCTTCCAGCAGGTTGAGAATCAAATTACAGGGGGGTTATGGGAAAGACAAGGGGGGTTGGGGGTAGGGAAGGCAAGGGGAAGAGAGCGGTGTTAAGGGGCCTTTATGTGTCTTGTTGTCCAGCCCTTCCAGCAGGTTGAGGATCAAATTACAGGGGGGTTATGGGAAAGACAAGGGGGGTTGGGGGTAGGGAAGGCAAGGGGAAGAGAGCGGTGTTAAGGGGCCTTTATGTGTCTTGTTGTCCAGCCCTTCCAGCAGGTTGAGGATCTGAGGAGAGGGTTTGCGAGAGAGACAAGAGATGGACAAGGGATGGGGGTATAGAGGAGGTGTTACAGCACACAGACCTGCAGGTGTTACTTGGGAATTACAAAAAAAACACCTGCGACAAGTAGGAAAGGTGTTACAGCCCACAGCCCAGCAAAGCAGTTATGAACTGACAGCGGGGGGGTGAGTACATAAAGCACATCGAGACGTAGTGAAAAGCCAATCATAAAGCAAGGGTTTACAGTTTTGGGATAGCTCCCACGTCTCTCTCGCCCCTACACCCTCTCCGCCCACCCCGTTCACCTGCCTACTTCTCACCCCCCCATAAGCCACAGCACATAAACACTTCCCCTTTTCCGCCCCCTCCCCTCTCCTCATTTTCACCCCCCACCTCACTCGCACCTCAGCATAGGAGTGTGGGTATGTTTTGAGACGTCTCAAAACTCAGCATAGGAGTGTGGGTAGCACGGCAACGAGTAAAATATGACCTCCATTTCCATTTCTTTCCTTCCCCCCTTCTCCCCTTCCCCCCTGCTCATCCCCGCCACCTCACACCCACCTCAGCATAGAAGTGTGGGTAGCACGGCAACGAGTAAAAAACCACCTCCCGAATACCCCGAATCTGGTCAGCAGCGCGATGGTGTGGGGGAGACGGCAGGGAGACGGCAGGGATCGAGACGGCAGGGTGAGGGCAGGGTGACAGTAGGGAGGGAGACGTCAGGGTGACGGCAAAAACCCTAATGGCCAGAAGAAACCCTAATCGCCAGCAGAAACCCTAACGGCCAGCAGAAACCCTAACAGCCAGCAAAAACCCTAACAGCCCGCAGAAACCCTAACAGCCAGCAAAAACCCTTACAGGCTGCAGAAACCCTAGCACGTAGCGTGGTGACAAGAGAGAGGGTACCCGGTAGCGGTGGTAGAAGTGCGATTGCTCCGAGTACAGTACAGCATGATTCGTTTTGAGACGTCTTAAAACAGCAAGTGAGTGGGGTGGGCGTGGGTACCGACCCGGTAGCGGTGGTAGAAGTGCGGCCGCAATGAGTAGAGCATGATGCAACACGCATGTGCTTGTATCACTCTCAAGAACCCAACCCTCAAGTCACACGAATGGTGTGTGCCCTGCCAGTGCCAGTACCCGGTAGCGGTGGCATAAGTGCGATTGCTCTGAGTAGAGCATGATGCAGCATCTGCTTGTATTGTATCACTTTCAAGAACTCTCAAGCGAAAAGCGTGGTGGGTGTGTGCCCTGCCAGGCTGCCAGTACCCTGCCAGGCTGCCAGTACCCTGTAGCGGTGGTAGATAGAAGTGCGATTGCTCCGAGTACAGTACAGCATGATGCGTTTTGAGATGTCTTAAAGCAGCAAGTGAGTGGGGTGGGCGTGGGTACCGACCCGGTAACGATGGTAGAAGTGCGATCGCTCCGAGTACAGCATGATGCGCCGCCGGTTCTGGAAGAACCACGCCCTCGCCCGGTGCACGTTGCGCTCGTCCGTGTACCTGGGGGGTAGGCGGGGGGAGAGGGGAAGGAGGGGAGGAAAGAGGGGGAAGGGGGAGGAAATGAACCATGCCCTCGCCCGATGGACGTTGCGCTAGTCCGTGTACCGGGAGGGAAGAGAGGGGGGAACGGGGAGGGGTTGGAACAAGGCAACGACAATGCGAATCTCAACGCCTGGAAGAACTACAGACACACGCTCTCGGAGAGGGCAGGGCAAGGAGGGGCTTATATGTATATGGAGAAGGAGAAGAGGAGAGGATATATGAAGGAGAGGAGGAGAGAATATATGAAGAAGGAGAGGAGGAGAGAATATATGAAGAAGGAGAGGAGAGAATATATGGAGAAGGACAGGAGGAGAGAATATATGAAGAAGGAGAGAATGCTGTGCTTGAAGCATTTATTTGATTGGTGCCTCAACCATTGTTTCAGACCGAGCGGTTTCTCAACAATCGATTACGGTTAAAGGCGTATCCACAACGGTGAGTTGACTCAAAACTCGACTCAGACCGAGCGGTTTCTCAACGATCGATTACGGTTAAAGGCGTATCCACAACGGTTTCAGATTCGAGGCGGCTCAAAAATAGGTGCTCACTCGGAGAGGAGGCAGAAGGAGAGGTTCTCCTGCTTGAAGAAGTTTCGGAGGCGCACAAACTCAAAGTAGGACTGCGTGTACACCAGCACGCCCCCCTGGTGTGTGCAATGTGGGGGGGGGGGGAGAGTGGGGGAGAGAACAGCAGAAGAGTGGAGGGAAAGAAGAGGTTTTCCTGCTTGAAGAAGTTTCGGAGGCGCACAAACTCGAAGTAAGACTGCGTGTACACCAGCACGCCCTCCTGGTGTGTGCAATGGGGGGGGGTGGGTGGAAGAGTGGGGGAGAGATTAGGGGGAAGAGTTGGATAAGGTCAAGAGGGGTGAAGCATGGTGAAAGTATGAAGGAAAATTCTTAGAATACAGCAGAACGTACAGAGACGAAACAGCAGTTTCTTTTTTGACATTTGCTTTATAATCACAACACACTGGGCATGCCGAGAGCAAGCAATGACTGACATGCCGAGAGCAAGCAAGGACTGACATCTCCATCTCCGTGAACAGAGTCAGTTTTTGAAAATTCTCAAAAACCAGCTTGAGAGCAAGCAAGGACTGACAGATGGGAATCACATCTCCATCTCCGTGAACGGAGTCACGGAGAGAGGCGAACAGATGGGACAGGTTGGGGGATTCACCTGGACGGAGTCCCGAAGGCGCGGGAAGATGGTTGAGACGAAGAACTGGAAGCGCGCCTCTGCTGCTGCTGTGATGGCGCTGCAGTCAACGCGGTCAAACACCTGCTGCACCTGTGGCACCACCAGCGCCAGCACCCCCGCATACTCTGAACGAAGCTTCACCTGATGGGGGGACAAAGTTGGACAAAAGATGACAGTGGAGTCAATGCAGTCAACGCAGTCAAACACCTGCTGCACCTGTGGCACCACCAGCGCCAGCACCCCCGCGTACTCGGACCGAAGCTTCACCTGCTTGTGGGAGGGGAGCGGGAGTGGGGGATGAGTATGTGGTAAAAGTGCAGTCAACGCGGTCAACGCGGTCAAACACCTGCTGGCTGCACGTGAGTTAGAAAAGCACTGTATGGAAACACTGCATGGGACATGCAGCAGTAAGGGTAAGAGTACGTGGATTGTATTGTGCTGCAAACGGTTTGCATACCTTGCCTGAGAAGTTGCAGCAGGATCGGTGAAAAAGAGCGTTGATGGCTGGATGAGGGAGGGGAGGGAGGAACGGAGAGGGGAGGAGAGGGGAGGAAAGGGGAGGATCGAAGAGGATGAGGTTGGAGAGGGGAGAGGAAGGACGGAGGAGAAACCTACCAAGGGCACCCTCGATTCTCCACTCTGCTGGCTTGCCTTTGAGAATGAATAAAAGCTGCCATTCTTAAGTAGAAGACGAAAAAATTTGTCAAGTCAAGAAGGAGGAGCAACGGAAAGTGGTACATCCGTGGAAGTGATACGCTGGGGGCGAGCAAGGACGAACGAAGCAGGCAGGAGCAAGGGCAGGGGAAGGGAAGGGTTGCCTTGCCCCATAACGCTCACAGAAGGAAGGGAGTGTTTAGTTTAGTGAAGCTCACAGGGGTGGGAGAAGGCGGAGAGAACAATGGACTGCCTGTAGTGCCCCGCCCACCCGTTCAGGTACCTGGGGGACAGGATAGGTCATGAAGAGAGGGGTGACACTGATAGGGAGTCACTCTTTTGAGGCGCCTCAAAAGTCATGAAGAGAGGGGTGATGGGGAGTCGCTCTCACACGGGGATAAGAAACTCTCACACGGGGATAAGAAACTCTCACACGGGGATAAGAAACTCTCACACGGGGATAAGAAACTCTCACACGGGGATAAGAAACTCTCGCACTTTTGAGGCGCCTCAAAAGTGATGGGGAGTCACTCTCACACGGGGATAAGAAACTCTCGCACGCGGATCATGAGGTCAAGTTGCGCAAAGACCGCCTCTCTTAATACACCCTCCGCTCTCCCCCCTTACTCGTCGCAACCCCACCCCACTCTTCTTCACCGCTCACCACTCGCGCACGCGCATGAAGTCGGTGCCGTGCTGCTTCACTGGCAGCTTGTTCAGCTGTGCAAACACCGCCTCCACGTGAGCCCAGTTCTGCGGTGAGTGGGGAGAGTAGGTGGAGAGGGTAGTTGCATTGCATGTGCATTTTATTGCTCAGAGGGGATCATAGACATGCTGACTTTTGAGGCGCCTCAAAACTGCTCAGAGGAGATCACAGACATGCTGCTTCACTGGCAGCTTGTTCAGCTGGGCAACCACTGCCTCCACATGTGCCCAGTTCTGCACCCACCGATTGGAAAGCGGGGGTATTTCCACTTGAGCAGAAATAAATGCCAATAGATCACAATTAGAGCTCTAATTACAGTATAGATGCGATTGGTCATTGTGCATAGACACCCATTACAATGGTTATCACTACAGGAAAAAACGAGGGCTATAACTCTCTTGATTGCTTGTCAATACAGTCCGAAAAGAAATCATGATATGCTCATGGCATGGCATACCTGCATGAGGATGACGTCAGCTTGGTCCACGATGACAATCTGACGTGGCGGGGCGTGATGTGGCATAGCGCGGCATGACGTGGAGCGGAGGATTTGATTTGAGAGAGCGGGTGGTACGGGATTGAAGTGGGGCAGGTGTGAGGATAAGGATGAGAGAAACGGTAGTGACATGACATGACATGGCGTACGGTGCATGATGCATGTCACATATACATGCACATCCCCATCCACACAACTGCACAGCCGCACACACGCATGCACATGCAAACATGAACCCTCACATCAACCAGCATTGACCAACACTGACTGACCACTACTGTTCAGCATTGACAAGCACCAGTGTTGAACATCATTGACCAGCGTTGACCAGTGTTGACTAGCGCTGACCAGCGTTGACCAGCAATGACCAGCGTTGACCAGCATTGACCAGCGTTGACCAACGTTGAACGCACCTCAATGGAGGAGAGGAAGTCCATGTCCTTTTCACTGTCCTCCATAGCCTCCCCCAGCTTCTGCAGGTGGGTGCAGGTGGGTACATGTGGGTACAAGTAGGTACAGATGGGCAGGTGGGGCAAGAGTGGGTTAGGGAAGATGAGCGGATCTTCATTCCCTAAGGAAGATGAGTGGGCTAGGGAATGAAGGAGGACAAGGGAGTGGGGCGGCGGGGATCAAGGAAGACGAGTCAGCATGATGGGATGAGCGAGAAGGGGGAGAGTGAGGGGAGAGGGGTTGGGGAAGTGAAGGTTGGGGAAGTGAAGGCGGCAAGTGAAGGCGGCAAGTGAAGGCGGCAAGTGAAGGCGGCAAGTGAAGGCGGCAAGTGAAGGCGGCAAGTGAAGGCGGCAAGTGAAGGCGGCAAGTGAAGGCGGCAAGTGAAGGCGGCACGTGAAGGCGGCAAGTGAAGGCGGCAAGTGAAGGCGGCACGTGAAGGCGGCACGTGAAGGCGGCAAGTGAAGGCGGCAAGTGAAGGCGGCAAGTGAAGGCGGCAAGTGAAGGCGGCAAGTGAAGGCGGCAAGTGAAGGCGGCAAGTGAAGGCGGCACGTGAAGGCGGCAAGTGAAGGCGGCACATGAAGGCGGCAAGTGAAGGCGGCACGTGAAGGCGGCAAGTGAAGGCGGCACGTGAAGGCGGCAAGTGAAGGCGGCACGTGAAGGCGGCAAGTGAAGGCGGCAAGTGAAGGCGGCACGTGAAGGCGGCAAGTGAAGGCGGCAAGTGAAGGCGGCAAGTGAAGGCGGCAAGTGAAGGCGGCAAGTGAGAGCGAACCTGACGGGCGAGAGAACAACAACAAGAGCTGGCAGGCACGGCAAACCGATTCCGATGGACGGAGGCGGGGGAGAAGGAAGGCGGTAATGAGAGGGAAGTGCGGAGCATTTGTGAGCGTGCGTGAGGCGATTACTGAGATGCCTAAAAAAGGCGAAGTGTCAAGCAGTTGTGGGAGTGAGGCGACTCTTTTTCTCTTTGCCGCTCAGATGGACGAGGCAAGAGAAGAGGAATGCAGAAAGGGCAGGGAGTGAATGTCAAACATTTGTGGGAAGAAAGCAGCGAAGAGAAAAAGAGCAAGTGGGCGGCGAAGAGAGGCGAAGCGAGGAGAGGAGAGCGCACGGTGACAAGGCCGATGGGCGAGGCAACGATAATGTCTGACTGGTAGAAGTCCGTGTAGAGCTTGACTGCTTTTCTGGGATGGTGGGTGGAGGATGAGACGTGTTAGGTGGGTGGTGAGCTGTGATGGGTGGGGGTGAGCTGTGATGGGTGGGGGTGAGCTGTGATGGGTGGAAGGTGGTGAACATTCGTGTACATCTTGGGATGATAGGAGCAGGAAACAGGATGGTGTGATTGGTGCAGTCACATGATGGTGTGATGGTATGATGGTGTTATGGTATAATGGTGTTATGGTATAATGGTGTTATGGTATAATGGTGTTATGGTACGGTCACAGGACAGCACACCAGCAGGACCACACAGCACCGCATGTGAAGCCGCACTTGGTGAACTTGATGCCGAGTCGAAAGTGGTCGTCATTGTTGCCGGCAAACATGGCCCGGTGATCCACCGGCTTCAGCCCCTTCCGCAGCACTGCTGCTGCCGCCTCTGCTACCGCTGCATCACCCTCATCTCCACCCTCTCCCCTGACTCTTCCTCCTCCTTCCTCCTCCCCTCCGTCCTCCACTTCCTCTGCCTCCCATGACAGCCCACGCCCCACCTGCTGCTGCTGCTTTCTCCTCTTCCTCTCCCTCGCCTTTCTCCTCTCCTCCTCGTCCTCCTCCTCACTCTCCTCCTCGCTCTCCTCCTCGCCAAACTCAGCAAGAAGGCGATCTAAATGCTCCACTGCTACCTGCAATCACGGGGACAAAGGGGATGACACGTGTCTGCAGTGTAGTTTTGAGACGTCTCCAAGCCAAATGCTCCACTGCTACCTGAAATCGTGGGGACAACAAGGGCATGACCAGCCTTTGAGATGTCTCGAACGAGACAAGGACGGAAGGAAGGCATACAATGAACTTGCAGAAGGAGGGGCTGTTTCGCTTTTGAGACCTCTCAAGCATTGTAGAGGCAGCTTATACTTCAAACCCTACTCTGACCTTTGACTGGGCCAGTGCGATTCGCAGCAGCTGCTGCACCGCGCTCAGCGCAGCATTGCGGTGCGGCAGGAGCAGCAGCAGCAGCACTTTGAGGAGACTGGCAGCAACTTGGCACAGCAGGAAGATGCCATTCAAGGGGAGGCAGGGGCGGATGCAGCACTGACCTTGGAAGGGGTGGATGCAGCACTGACCTTGGAAGGGGCGGATGCAGCACTGACCTTGGAAGGGGCGGATGCAGCACTGACCTTGGAAGGGGCGGATGCAGCACTGACCTTGGAAGGGGCGGATGCAGCACTGACCTTGGAAGGGGCGGATGCAGCACTGACCTTGGAAGGGGCGGATGCAGCACTGCCCTTGGAAGGGGCGGATGCAGCACTGACCTTGGAAGGGGCGGATGCAGCACTGACCTTGGAAGGGGCGGATGCAGCACTGACCTTGGAAGGGGCGGATGCAGCACTGACCTTGGACTGGGGCGGTATCACTCGCAGCAGCCGCTGCACCACGTTCAGTGCAGCATTGCGATACGGCAGTAGGACGAGAACTTCAGGGCGAGTGAAGACCTGGTCCCTGGGGATACTCTCCACCTCCACCAACCCCTTTTCTTAATCAACTACAGAGCATAATCCAAGCCACTGACCTTGGACTGGGGAGGCGTTACTCGCAGCAGCCGCTGCACCACGTTCAGTGCAGCATTGCGGTGTGGCAGGAGGACGAGCACCTTGGGCCGCGTGCAGCCCTGGTCCCTGGGGATACTCTCCACCTCCACCAGCCCCTTCCCATCCACCACCCCCCTGCTGGTCTATTCAATAACCTGTTCACGCAAAGGCACTGACCTTGGACTGGGGCGGGGTCACTCGTAACAGCCGCTGCGCCACACTCAGTGCAGCATTGCGATACGGCAGTAGGACGAGCACCTTGGGGCGGGTGAAGCCCTGGTCCCTGGAAATGCTCTCCACCTCCACCAACCCCCTTCCCTTCCACCACCCCATTGTTGACCCGAGCCTATACAAGAACGCAGTCAAGCCAAACCAAACCACTCACCTTGGATTGCGGGGGCGTGACACGTAACAGCCGCTGCACCACGCTCAGAGCAGCATTGCGGTACGGCAGGAGAACGAGAACCTTGGGCCGCGTGAAGCCCTGGTCCCTGGGGATACTTTCCACCTCCACTAACTCCTTCCCATCCACCACCACCCCGCCTGGCCCCTTCCTCTCCTTCTTCCCTCCTTTTCCTCCCTTCTTGAAAAGAACACTCTCTGTCCCTCCCTCTTCCATCTCCTCATCCTTCTTCCCCTTCTCCGCCTGCTCCCCCTGCTCCCCCTCCTCCCCTTCCTGCCCCTCCTCCCCCTGCTCCGCCTGCTCCCCCTGCTCCGCCTGCTCCCCCTGCTCCGCCTGCTCCCCCTGCTCCCATTGCTCGCCATGCCCCCCCTCCTCCCTGCCCTCTGCCGTCTTCCCCTTCTCTCCTTGACCCTCTTCTTTCCCACCTGTTTCTGAGCCTTTAGCAGCTGCAGCTGCTGCATTACCCCCTTGACTCCTACCCTTCTCCCCACCACCTGTTCTCCTCTTCTTCCCTTTTGCACCAGCGGCAGCATCAGCAGCGTCGGCAGCAGCAACAGCAGCAGCAGAGGCGCGGTTGAGCTTGTCGTTGTTCTTGGTGATGCGATCGCGTGTATGGAAGACGTGGTTCAGCTGGGGAGAGCAGAGAGGAAGGGGGGGGTATTGGAAGGGGAAGTGAGACAAAGGAAGCAGCAGCAGAGGCGCGGTTGAGCTTGTCGTTGTTCTTGGTGATGCGGTAGCGCGTGTGAAAGACGTGGTTCAGCTGGGGAGAAGAGGTGGGGAGGGAGTAGGAAGGAGGACGGGCAGGAAGGATTGTGAAAGAAGGCTTAGCTGTGTGTGTGTGTGTGTGTGTGTGTGTGTGTGTGTGTGTGTGTGTGTGTGTGTGCGTGTGTGTGTGAGTGTGTGTGTGTGTGTGTGTGTGTGTGCGTGCGTGCCTGCATGCGTGTGTGCGCGCGTGCGTGTGTGGACCGAGCAGCATGGTTGAGAAGGAGTGGGATTGGCAGTAGTAAGAGCATGCAGCACGGTTCAAGAGCAGGAGGACACAGGCAAGGGGGGGGAGGGAGCGTATGCTAACCGCGTGCAGCAGGTAGGCGTCGGTGATTGCCTGGGCATCCAGAGGCGAGCCGAACTTGGACTGGGCGGCGTAGTTGACAAGAAATGGGAGGTAGGAGCATGCAGCAGCACCGATGAGAGCAGGTGCACGCTGATAAGGGCTGATAAGGGGCCGTACCGCGTGCAGCAGGTAGGCGTCGGTGAGTGCCTGGGCGTCCAGAGGCGAGCCGAACTTGGACTGGGCGCATGGACGGCGCGAGTGCAGCACATCCGTGTATGACGTGCCTGCGGGGGTGGGGATAAGGCGGGGAAGGGGAGGGGAGACGGAGGGAAAAGTGAGCGCCTGTGCGCCCAGAGGCGAGCCGAACTTGGACTGGGCGCATGGACGGCGCGAGTGCAGCACATCCGTGTATGACGTGCCTGGGAAAGGGGAGGTGGGGGAGAAAAAGCGGGGAGTGGGGTTGGGTTGGGGGAGGAGGGAGGGACTATGCTTCAGGCAGCTCAGAAACAGAAAATCCTGTATAAGGTCAAGAGACTCTCAACCGAGATTTTTGAGACGTCTCAAAAGTCAGCTCAGAAACAGAAAATCCTGTATAAGGTCACGAGACTCTCAACCGAGACTGTCTGAGTGGAGGAGGACACATGGGCGGAGAAAGGATAAGGTCCGAGAGGAGACATGGGCGGAGAAAGGATAAGGTCCGAGAGGAGATGGGATGGGATGGGATGGGGATGTGAGGATGGGCAGACAGACAGGGCAAGAGACTCTCTGAGATGGGTTTGTGTGCAACGAGGCACTCACAGAGGGAGAAGAACTGGCGCTGATGGGCGCTCGCAAACCCATCATTGCTCGATGCCAACGTCCCCAAGGCTGCTTCCTCTGGCGATGTCACAGCTGCTGCTCCATCCACCGATCCATCCCCCCCTGCAGCTGCCACCAGACCCTTCCTCCCCCGCTTCCGCTTCCCAGCCCCCTCACTGTCCCCATTCACGCTGCTCCTGCTGCTTTTAGCAGCCTTATGAGACGTCTCAAAAGCAGCCTTATTATCGCTGCTGCTGCTGACTCCGCCCCCTTGCGTCACTCTCAGCAACGGTTCATAATCCTCCCCCACCACTCTCCCCCAATGCGCCTTCAACCGCCCCTTGAACCCCTCCCATGCATCCACCTCCTTCTCCCCATCCTGCTCTTTGTCCTTCTCTTTACTCTTCGCCTTATCCTTACCCTTGACCGTGCCATGTCCTTTACCCTTATCCTTCTCCTTTTCCTTGTCTTCGTCCTTATTCGCAGCAGCAGCCGTCCAAGGCAGTGCATGGTCAGCCACCCACTTGCCGCCCGGGACACCCATCGCCGGCCATTCATACGCAAACTTGAGTGGCTTGCCGCCCCCTGCACCGCCCAAGCCATTGGACTTGCCAGCGCCACTGCCACTGCCACTGCCCTTGCCCTTGCCTTTCTTTCCTGCAGCAGCAGCAGCAGCCGCAGCAACAGCAGCAGCAGCAGAGGCAGTAGCAGCAGCGGCGTCAGCAGAGCCTCCCAGCGAGAGGAGCTCCTGTGGCGTGAGCATGTGCTCCATGCGCTGGGCGAATGGGCTGGGGGTGGGGGAGAGGGGGAGAGTGGGGAGTAGGAGAGGGCCGAGTGGGAGGGAAGGTACAATCTGAACGTCTTGTCGCTGCCCCATGCATCACCCAAGCCACTACACCTAGCAGCGAGAGGAGCTCCTGTGGCGTGAGCATGTGCTCCATGCGCTGGGCGAATGGGCTGGGGGCGCGTGTGAGAGGGGCGCGTGTGAGAGGGGCAGTCAGGGGAAGGGGGAGAGTTTTGAGTCGACTCAAAACACACGGGGGCGCGTGTGAGAGGGGCGCGTGTGAGAGGGGCGCGTGTGAGAGGGGCGCGTGTGAGAGGGGCGCGTGTGAGAGGGGCAGTCAGGGGAAGGGGGAGAGTGAGACAATTTGAACGACTTTTGAGGCGCCTCAAAAGGGGCAGTCAGGGGAAGGGGGAGAGTGAGACAATTTGAACGCCGTGCAGCTCCCTGCACCACCCGAGCCACTGGGCCTTGCAGCGAGAGGAGCTCCTGTGGAGTGAGCATGTGCTGTGCTCCATGCGCTGCTGGGCTAATGGGCTGGGCTGGGGAAGTGTGGGAGAACGAGAGAAACAGGAACGAGAGAAACAGGAACGAGAGAAACAGGAACGAGAGAACGAGGAAGGGAAGCACACGAGGTGTCAAGAAGAGTGGAGGTGTGGAATTGGCTTAGGAAGGGCAAGGAAGGCAAACGGAGGTTCAAAGCAAGGGGGTGGGCGTGACACGAAGTGCGAGCGCGGGGAATTTTGATCGCGAGAGGAATGGAACGTTGGGTTGCTTGGGTGTGCTTACTCCAGTCTGGCTGTAGCAGCAGCATGACCATCCCCACCTCCAGTTTCCTCCTCCTCCTCCTCATCCACTCCCTCCTCTTCACTTTCCTCTGGTTCCCCTTCCTCCTCTTCACCATCACTACCATCATCTACTCTCACTCCAGAAGCACCAACAGACCGTCCCACATCCTTTTCCTCATCCCCATCCTCTTCCTCATCCTCATCTGCATCCCCTTTTTCCCCGTCTGCTTCTGGATCTGACTCGCCTGCCTCGTTCTTCTCCTCCTCCTCTTCACTCCCCTCCTCCCCTTCCTCATCTTCTTCCTCCTCGTCCTCCTCCTCGCTCTCTATCCCCAATGCGTCCCTCTCCCTGCAATCAACCACACTCGCCCCAAAACACACAAGGCCGGTCATGCAGAATCCCAGATGCTTGCATGCATTGCATGAGTGCATGCACAAATAACAAGTGAGAGCAACAAACACATGACTGACGGCCACATTGACATCACAAGCATCATACGCGCAGCTGCACAAGCTATCGTTGTTGCAGGCGCTTTTTTTTTAATTATTATTATTATTATTCTTTAAAAACGGCCACATTGCCATGATGAGCATCATACGCGCTGCTGCACGAGCCTCAAAAGCCACGCGCCGCACGCATCGCCCGCATCATAGTCATCTCTCCCTACCTCTGAGAGTAGACCTGTGAGAGCGCGCCACGTGTACTCTTTCCCAGCGATGTCAGCAGGGCAGAGTAAGCGTCAGGGCCAGCCACACTCAACCCTATACCCGCATCTTCCTCCTCCTCCGCCTCTTCATTACCCCGTTCCCCTAGACTACCCCCTTCTGCGCGCTTCCCTCCCCTTCCCCCAGGACGGGAGTCCCCCCTTCCCCCCGTTCGCCTTCCGCCCCTCCCGCGCGTATCCCCCTTCCCTATCCCCCTCACATCCTGATCCCCCCCGGCGGAAGGCCTTGCGCTTCCCCCTGCGGCCGCGACTGCCCCACCTCGCCAGCTCCCTCTTCCCCCGCCTCGTCCCCTTCCCCTTCCTCGTCCTCCCCCTCTTCCTCTTCCCCTATGCCTGCCTACTGGCCCCATGCGAATTGTCTGTTCAACAGCCTTCTTCTGTTCTTCCTGGATTTCAAGTCAAAAGCGACCTAGAATACGCCTTGCAGACGTATATTATACGCTGTTTCGATTCAATGTATTTTCAGATATAAGTGATTAGATTCAGGCCGATAAGCTCGAGGCGACAGGTGCAAGGAAAAGGCTAATTCGAAGCTCAGGTTCAGGGTGCAGGGTTTCTGCTCTTGTCCGCAGTAGCAGCTGTTGATCTGGTGGAGGCTGTATGATTGACGGATTTAGTACACCAGTTGCCGAAATGTTAACTTGGACGATAGAGCAGCAATGAAGCATTAGGGATAAGACTATGACTATAACTCTAGTTTATATATTGTACAGAATAATATTTTTACCACAAATTTTGATGTAATTAATAACTTGTCCAGTTGAAACATGTCCAGTCTCGAATCTTTTATATTCCAATAAATTTAGTGCTTTGTTTGGCTACACCAGCAAGCCCGTTGAAAGAGAAAATGTATTTTTTTAGAAGCGGACAGATTCAGCTGGTCCACCATCTCTCCCCTTGTCATTCCCAGAGCATGCGCGGCAGCTTTGCCCAGATTGGTGGAAGTGGCGGCAGTTCCATTGCTGTGCGATGCCTTCGCGAACCCTGGTTCACGGGGTACACTGTGTAACTATCTACGGTAACATGCAGCGGCGTCAGCAGCATCACTCAGGCTGGGACGAGAAAAGTGGCGCCAAAGCCAAAAAATCAAGGCGCCTCGAGGACGCGCGAATCAGGAGCAGGAGCGCTGCACGCCTCGAGATTGCCTCGCCCGAGGCTGCCTTATCCCTTCATCCCGCCAATTCCCTCTGATTCGGCTGGATACGGTTTCAACGGCTAGGAGAACAGCTCAGGTGCAATACTGTCCATGTCAACCCTCCCCTAGAAGTCTTCAGCCGTTCGGCCTTCTCTTGCTCTCTCAACCTCAAGCGGCCTGGAGAATAACATGATGACGACCCATGTTAATCAGTCCAGAAGCACTCCCAGAAGCTCTCGCGGGACGTAGGGTGCTGCTCTGTCTCGAGATTCATGTGGTAACTGCTAGTTTCCAGCTCGAGACTCGTTTGGTAACTGCTAGCTTCCAGCGTGATCTGGTTCCCACCTAGCAACTTCCGATCTCACGTGCATATCGAGGCTTTTTGGATTCTTACAAACCGAGGTGTCAAGATATCGAGCTAGCTAAAGCACTGCTTGCATGGACCCGCATGCGGAAACAAGTGGGATAGAGGTCGAAACAGCTAAGTTGGAATCCACGTCGCTAGCCGGAGCTAGCTACAGTAACCTCATCAGCAGGACCAAAGGCATTGGCAGATTCGGCACACCTAAGACGGTGGTTTGTTCCGAATCACAGGGCAACACCGTTCCTGAATCGCGTCTTCCTGTTTGCTGCTCAAAGGCAGTCAGGATAACTTCATGCCTTCATGACCATAATGAGCCTGGTAGCAGCAGCTGTAACTGCAGCTGTAGCAACAGCAGCACCGGCGTTTCTTTGAAGAGCTTGAGACCTCTGCTGGAAATTCTGTTGAAGCAGAAGGCGGACGCGGCAGCATCTTCCGCTACAGTCACCACCAGAGGCATTGGACGATTCGGTAAACCTACTCAAGTGGCGTCTATGAAACCACAACGTGCCAACAGACCCTTGTGTTTCAAGCCCCCTCAACCCTCAGTGCGGATTGACTGCACGAAACGTCCCACCACTGACCACTGCAACAGCATTGTGCTGAAGAGCATTAGGCCGTTGCTTGAGAACCTGTCAAGACAGCCCCATACATCTCCCTCCTTCACCAGTTCTGCTGCTGGCCACAAGTCCAAAACGGTGCAGAGTGTTGGCCCGGGGGATGTGAAGCCGGGAGGAATAGGCCGCTTCCGAGGGCAAGTCGCTGCATTTGAGGACACTACTGCTGCGTCTTCTCCCATCTCAACGTCTTCAACAGTGCCAGATCCAAGTGCTGCTGCTGCCGTGCTGGAGTCAACAGGTGCTGAATCTGAGCGTCCACTGCTGCAGTCTCAGGTCAACGTGGCCAAGAACGGCTGCACTTGTGACAAGGAAGGAGTGCTTGCCAGCAACGCTCGCAGCATCTCTGGCAGCAAACCTATCAGCAGTAGTAGCAGCATCAGCAGCAGCAAGGAACGGGTGCTCCTTCTAAGGACTATCAGGTCCATTGTACATGATCTAGTGCGGGAGAGGGCGGATCCTGCCAATCATATGGCCGACAGCTACAGCTCCACCAGGCGTCGTCTGAAGGAAACCCTGTTGCAACTGGCCTTGCAACGAGTGAAAGCCAGCCATTCTTGTGAGGTCGGGGGGACAAAGGTCGGACGGTGTGGAGGGGGGGTGTGGGCAAGGGTACCACAGCAAGTAGGTTGCAGGCAGGTTGAGGTCATGGTGCCAGATGGGAGGGACGCAGCAATGGGAGGAGGGGAGCAGCAAGAGGAAAGGGAAGCAAACAGGCAGTGAGAGGGGGGTGCTGCATTAGCAGTCAGTGATGTCAGGGATGGGGGAGTGGCAGGTGGCCAGAGGGATTATTCAGTGGTGGTGAAGTTTGGAGTGCATGAGGAGCAAGCAGCAGCTGGTGAAGGAGCATCGGGACTTAGGGAGGATCTTCCTGTGAAGACCTCCTCTTATTGGGTGCCCAGTGTTGGAAGCTGTCATGTAGCATCCCATATCAGCATTCGCGTGTGGATCAACCATGTGCTTGAGGCAAAATTGGTGCAGTAGCAGCACCAGCATAGGGTTACTGTAGTCCTTCCAGCTATAACTGCACTGCCTTCTGGTGTCAAGGTAGCCATTTGTAAGTAGGACTTCGCTATTTCAGAAAGGTTGCAGTGGCTGCATATGTTTGTCATTCCGTCAGTTCTGAACTTCTGAATAAAAAACTAAGGTACTGCATGGGTTCCACACATCTATGCTATAGATGGTACAGTATGGCACACTGTCTAGCTGGTGAGCCCTAGATTGATGGATGCCCTGCATTCCAGAGCACCATCTTCACCAATAAACATGGAAGTCAGTACACCCCGTTCTGTAGGCGTCTCAGGAACAATCTTCACCAATAAACATGGGAGTCAGGCTTCCACGGCTTGAAGTCATTCGCCGGCCCAGCAGTCCAATTCAGCCTCTCATCCCCAGCCTGTAAATACGTCGATGGTGGGTGGGGAAGCTTCCTCGCAAGCCCGTTCAGCACCTGGTGAAACACATCCCCTTCCTGCGGCTGCGGGTGCCCCAGCACGACAGCCTGCCTGATCGCATGAGACGCCAGCCGCTGCTGCATCGCCAGCACTCTCCTCGGCCCAATCCCAGCCAGAATCTCATCTAGTTTCGGCACGTCTTTTTCCGGGACGAAAACTGCAATTTCCCGCCACGGGATGACGTCAGAGAAGGGGAGGACGATGTTGTCGGCGACAATGACGGGGATGCAGCCGAAGAAGACGGACTCGACAAGGCGGGGCGACCAGGGCGCCCAGCCAAGCGGGCAGAGGCAGAAGAGCGAGCGCTGCATGTCCTCGTAGTAGGACGCTGGGTGCTCCGCTGACATGTCAAACAGCGGGTTGCTCTTGAAGTTCTCCCACATGGACGCACGCGCACCCCTGCAGGCCAGGAGGTACGGGACATGAGGGGGAAGGGAGGGGTGAGATGCGGTTATGAGGCCACACACGGGAGTGCTCTGCTGACATGTCAAACAGTGGGTTGGATATAAAGTTCTCCCACATGAATGCATGCACACCTTTGCAGGCCAGGAGGTGCAGGAAAAGGGCACACGGGGAGCAGGGAGAGCAGGAGGTAGAATGCTGGGAGTCAAAGATTGGAAGAGTGGGAGAGGAAGGGGGATGGAAGGGCCCGCAGCCAAGCAGCATACTAAGTTGCATTCAGCTTCACCTGGCATAGTACCCCCCCTTTGCGGGTCGTTGTCGCAATCATAGAAGAGCACACGGAAGTAGACGAAGATGGAGCGCAGCGCATCAACAGCATGCTGTAAACACTCTCCACAAGCTCAGCCCATCCGAGAGCACAGCCTCACCTGGCATAGTAGCCCCCTTGAGGATCGTTGTTGCGGTCGTAGAACAGCCCACGAAAGTACACAAAGATGGAGCGGGGAGTGTCGGGGGGGATGCGGCGGCGGTGCATGTGGCCCGTGGGGGCGAAGGGAGGCACCACGATGCTGCCGGGCTTGTGGCACACGTGGTGCGACTGCCCAAACGTCTGCACCAGGGTTGCTCGCTTCAATAGAGGCATGATGCCGCGGGTGATGGCCTTCTCTTCCTGAGGAGGATCGTATGAGGGGAGGAGAGAGGGACAGAGGGCGAGAAGCTTGTGGCACACGTGGTGCGACTGCCCAAACGTCTGCACCAGGGTTGCTCGTTTCAATAGCGGCACGATGCTGCGAGTGATAGCTTTTTCTTCCTGGAAATCGGGTATCGGGATGTGAAGTGAAAGCAAGAGGGAAGGAGAGTGAGTGACTTGTGACACACATGGTGCGACTGCCTAAACGTCTGCACCAGCGTGGCTCGTTTTAGAAAAGGCATGATGCTGCAGGTGAAAGCTTCCTCGTCTTGGAGGTTGAATGCAAGGGTAAGGAAAGGGAGTGCGGGGCTCGCGGCACACAGGGTAGATTTTGCCCCTGTGCTGTATAAGCCTGCCTATCATGCTAGTAGCACTACGCAGTATGACTCTCTCCCTGCTCTCTGCCTTCCCTGTTCTCTGCTCTCTGCTCTCTGCTCTCTGCTCCCTGTCCTGCACTCTTCGTTACAGTCACTCACCTCATAGTGAAAGCACGCGCCGAAATCGTGCGGCGTGATGAAGAAGTGATCCGCGCCGTCCGTTCGGTTCCAGTACGGCCACCGCTCCGACACCAGCGTGATCGCCGCGCGGATCATGCGAGGCGACCGGAACGGCAGCGGCAATCCCGAGGCCGTCAGATCGCACGTGGGGTACACGGGCATGTAGAACCAGTCCGCCTCGTCCGGGTTCGTCGTACGTACGGGGCTGTTCAAGATGTAACGGTGGAACAGCACCTCTAATGCGAACATGTGCGTCAGGCAGCGGGGTTGCTTCTTAATGAAATTGTAATTGAAATCGCGCGGTAAATCGTAGACGTAGATCTTGAGCCGGCCCACGGGATTGCCGACCAGCTCCTCCTGCTGGTGCCGCTGCTGCGAGCTCAGACTCGCGTCATTGTCGCCGTCATTGCCGCCGACATTGACGCTCCCCTCCTCCTTTTCTGCAGGGTCGAAGGACGGGAGACGAGAGTGGGGTGAAGAGGTCATTATAAAATCTCCTTAAAAGAAGCGTAACGCAAGGCCTTGAAAGAATATCGTTTTGAACATCCCATAACACACTATCTTTCTCCAAAGCTTCCCTCAGGATCCTCAAAAGCGTACCCCCTATCAATTATACCTGAAGTACACCTCCTGGTAAGCGTTAAAACTGCACTAACGCGTACGTCACAGGAAAAACCTCGACCAGCACCCACCTCCTAAGCTATCCGCCGCGTCGCCTCCAGTCACGCCCACCACCATCTCCTTATCCTGCATCTTACGTCGGACTAAACTGCTAACTCCAGCAGTCGAAGGCCCGCTAATCCCCGTAGACGACACTCCTTGCAAGCCATCCGTCCGTTGCAGCAATTGCTGCTGCTGCGATTGTTGTTGCTGCTGCGACGAGCTGTCGGCGTAAGGTCCGACAACGGAATCGTCGAGTGCCGTTGGACTGGGTAAACTGGGAACCCTGGCACTCAAGTTGAGATTACGGTTGAGCGACGGGAGGACGATGACCAGCAGCAGCGCGAGCAGGAATCCCGGATCCGTCACAGCGCTCTGCGCGCTGCGGATCAATGGAGATAATCTCCGAATCATGGCGGTGAGGTAAAATCAGTGATCGATGATGAGCTGTAGTGTACTTTATGGGAAGAGTAATGTGGAGAGGAGGTAGGAGGACGCTGATGATGGCTCAAGGAGGGCTGACTCGTTGAGAAGTATGAGAAGCAGCTCCAATGATAACTACAGCGGGCTTTGAAAAATGGCTAGAATACGGTTTTGAGGAGTCTTAGAACGTCTCATTATCACTTAAATTCAGCGAGAATATCTGACAAGATTCATAGCGATGCGGAGTGATCCATTGGCATCACACCACGAACCGAGCAGCGCGAGCCTTAATAGGCTTGGTCGTTCGTGTTACTCGAATGTGATGGGATAAATCTATTCACGACTCACGGGTCACGACTTCTCGGCTGTCACCCTCGATTCCGTAGGGGGTTGATCGTTTTCAAGGTAGGCTAATGAGAAAAGCTTGAATACGGAAACGCGAACAGTACGTAGCAACAGGGCTGTTGACCTGTCTTTTGATATTGCACGAAACATCTAAGGCAAAAGGCCTTCCTACCTAGAGTCGCTCGTTGAATGTGAGTCCAGACTCTAGACTAGAGTCTAGACAGCCACGGCTTCTGTGCTGTGGTATTTTGTGGTTCATCCATTGTTCCCTCTCTCCAGCTTGTACTTGGTTTTGCTTGTTCGGCAGTCAGAGCTGGCAACCCTCTTTCATTGCGTCCCCCAACTTCCGATAAAAAGAGTGAAAGGTAAAGGTTACCACGATTTTCACCTGCATTCCATAATCTCCATGATTTCGCGACAAAACTTGCTGTAGTTTCGTTGCTATGCTGGATAACTACTAGGAACATTTCTATCCAGAGAAATCTGAGTGTATTCTCAGAGAAACGTGATACTCGAGGGGCAAAAGGAAAGCCAGTCACTCAGTCAATTGTGACTGAAGCGATGGCATAGAAGTGCGCGATACGGGGGTTCGATCACAATCACGGGGAGGTATCGGTCGTGAGTCGTGACTCATGCGCTACTGTATCCATTGCGCGCCCTAAAAAGTTTCGATTGGCTGACTCATCCAGTGGACTGCTTCCGAGCCCCAGTGTCAGAATCATGGCATCCTTTAACGAGAACAAACGTTACAGTCACCGTGACTTCCATAAAAGTTGCACACGTGTCCCATTGCAGTCAAACCTGCGGATTTTACGGAGTTTAAACTACAAGTATAGAAAGTAGAATAAAATCGAAGCTGAAACCACGAAAGCAAAGCATTAGCGCGTACAGACCTTCGGAACTTTTTCGAGGTTCGAGTTTTCAAACTTCGAATGCCTTTTTCGAGCTACTGTAGCCCTCCCCCCCTCCCCAATTGCTCCGTTCGCACCTCGAAATGTCTTTCCCGTGCCACTGTCGTGAAATGCTTCAAACCCTCACTCCTCTCGACCCTCTTTCAGCTGTTTCAACTCTCGACTTGAAAGCTCCGACGGAACCGCACCGCACCTCACCGCACAACGGTTAGTATTGGGATTATGGCTGGGAACGTGGACGCGGCGAAAGTGAATATGCCTGCAGAGAAAGAGGCAGCGAAGATAGGTAAGAGCGTTGCTGGCGATTCGACTGCCGAAGCTAACGCTGCGCCCGCTAACTCTGTCAAGGACACTCTAAAAGCAGACGATCAGCTTGCAAACGGCGGGGAAGTTGTGAAAGAGGGGATGGCTGCCGGGGGCGGGAATAATGCAGGGGAGCCGCAAGCAAATGGCGAGAATGTTGTAATCGCGGACGCTGAGAAAATGGAACCCGTTAAAGCGGAAGCGACTAAGCCGGAAGCCGCTAAGGCAGAAGCGGGAGCAGAGGCGAAGAACGATGCGGAAAAAACGGAAACTGAGAAAGCAAAGGCGGAAGAGAAGGCGGAAGCAAAAGCGGAAGAGAAGGAGGAAGCGAAGGCAAAACTTAAGGCGGAAGCAAAGGCGGAAGAGAAGGAGGAAGCAAAGGCGGAAGCAAAGGCGGAAGAGAAGGAGGAAGCAAAGGCGGAAGCAAAGGCGGAAGAGAAGGGGGACGCGAAGGCGGAAGAGAAAACTGAAGCAAAGGGGGGAGAAAAGGAGGAAGCAAAGGCGGAAGAAAAGGCTGAAACGAAGGCGGAAGATAAGGCAGAAGCGAAGGCGGAAGAGGAGGCGGAAGCAAAGTCAGCAGAAAATGGGGGCGCGGAAAAGGCGGAAGTTGGGAAGGAAGCTGATAAGGCCGACACGGGGAAAGAGGAAGCGGAGAAGGCGGCGGTGAAGCCAGAAACGGGGAAGGCTGATGTGGAGATGGCGGAAGCGGAGAAGGCGGCGGTGAAGCCAGAAACGGGGAAGGCTGATGTGGCGATGGCGGAAGCGGAGAAGGCGGATGCGGGGAAGGCGGAAGCGCCGAAGGCGGAAGCGGGAAAGACGCGGAGGTCGCGGAGGTCTCAAGCCGCCAGTGGTGACGCTGAAACCACCAACTCGAAGAAGAGGAAAGCTGAAACCGTCGAAGAGGATAATGCCGCGTCGAAGGAAGACGCGGCGCCGCCGGTAAGCGAGGCGCCGCCGACAGGCGAGCTGCCGGAAGGAGAGGGCCCGACGTGCTACTGCGACGCGGCGGATGGGGAGGAGGGGCGGGAGGTGGAGGAAAAAGCGGAGGGGGAAGCAGCGGCTGAGTCCGCGGGAAAGGCGGCTGATGGGGAGAAAAAAGAGGGCGAAACGGACGCGGGGGAAGCGAAGGAAGCGGAGAAAAAGGACGGAGACGGGGAGGCGAAGGCAGAGGGGGAGGGGAAGGCGGAGGGGAAGGGGAAGGGGACGCGGAAGCGGTTGGCGGTGGTGCGGACGGTGACGGCGGCGGCGAACGAGAACAAGGGGCTGCGCTACTGGACGTGCGCCAACTACCAGCCGCGCCCCTTCAAGCGCCCCCGCCACGCGCGCAAGGGCGCGCGCCACGCGGCGGCGGAAGGGGACGAGGCGGAGGGGAAGAAGGATGTCACGCGGTGCAATTTCTTCAGGTGAGAGAAAATCGTTCCGTGAAAGATTGAGTTATTCGGATCGAGAAAATTGTTTTACGCGTCGGAGTCTGGGTGTTAAGCACGCTCAGTTGTGGACTTAGCTAAAAGCGGCCTGAAAGAAAGAGTTTTTGGAGGTGCACGTTGGCATGCGAGCCAGGGGTGGTATTTGGGTGAATACGTTTTTCCTTCTTTCTTTATTCTATGTTAAATTGGTTACTTTATTCAGCAATCTGATCTCTCTCACAAGGGTGGATATTCTCCAAGAGCAACCTCAATGTTCTTGCTCCCTCCCGCCTCTCCTCCCCCTTGCTGTCTGCAGGTGGCTGGACACCCCGCGTGTGACCAAGGAGGAGAAGGCCGCAGCGGCGAGGGAGAAGCGGCGCAAGCGAGAGCTGGCGCTGCTCGCATGAGGAGGGAGGAAAGCCCTTTCCTCATGCGATCCTGCTCATGCGAGCAGGAAAGCGCTCCTGAGATCCTGCTCTCGACTGTCGACTTCGGAGACGCTTGGGGATTCTGGGATGCCGAGAGCTGGCAGTGGCATGGTGGCGTTGAGAGGAGGTGGTGGGAAAGAGTTGAGCAGGAGAGTAGAGATGTTGTGACATGACATGCTCCGATGTGACATGACTTGACATGGTGGCCTGCATGGAGTTGCTGTTTAGGGCTGGGCGGTAGGCTTGAGTGCCGGCCGGGGCTAACTGGGTGTAGGGCTAACTGGGTTTGGTGGGGAGATGGGAGGGAGGGAGGGGTGTGGTAAGGATGATGGGGGGATGTGGTTTAAGGGGTGATTTTCTTTTGTGTTTAAATCTCTGTTGGATCTCTGTTGTTGGTGGTTGTGGCCCAGTTTAATAGGCTGACTTCCGTAGGCTTTTTTAGGACATGCACTAGCATGTATGGTACCTGTTACGGCTGTCCCTGTAGGCCATTTAGCTACCTTTCTGACATTTTCAGCGTTCACTTCTCTTCAGAAACCTCTATTTTAAGATAATGCATTTGCCAGTGTGTACAGTACAGGGTTTTCCACACTGTGAAGCTACGGTATGATAGAATATGCCCATCCCCAACCAGCATCCTCATTTGAAACTGCACCAACCCCCAGGTACCTTTCCAGCCTGGGCCCTTTTTTCCCATCAGACCCACTGTACCATACCTACACTGCCGTAGATCTTAGGGCTGTGAAGATGCACCGTTTTGCAGACTCATATGCTCCACATCGCGCCCCCTCTGAGCCCTTCACATGCATGTCTGCCTGCCCGCGTTCAGTGGAAAAACTTCATCTACCGTATCAATTTTACTTCTACGGTATCCTAGAAAGTGCATCTACTGTACGCACTTCACTCTCTCGTCGCATCCTGCTTCTCCTCTGCCTTCTGCCGTCTACTGCGCCCCACCCCCTCCTCACTGTCCCCAAACCTGCCACCCCTCTGCGCCCCTCCACCCCTCGCTGCCACCCAGCCTGCTCCTCTCTGCCTGCTGTCGCTTCGGCGCCAGGCCCCCCACCTCCTCGCCTCGTCCAGGGTTAGGCCTCTGGTGACTTCTTTTGAGTCGACTCAAAAGCGCCTCGTCCAGGGTTAGGCCTATGGTGACTTCTTCCCCCTGCTACCCTCTCCTGCCGCTGGCCCTCTGCTTCCCTTTGCACCACTCCCCCCATCACTGCCCCCGAACCTGCTTCCCTCTGCGCCCCTCCAGCCTTCCCTGCCCGCCAGCCTGCCTCCCCTCACCCTAGTGCTCCTTTTACTGTCTTTTCTATCAATCCAAACCACTCCTCCTGCTGCTGTTTCCTGCTGCTGCTGCTGCTGCTGCTGCTGCCTCCGGACCACTCCTCCCTCACTGCCCCTCAGCCTGCTTCCCCTACCCCTGCTGACGCCTCTGCGCCAGGCCCCTCACCTCCTCGGCAGTGGGCGGGCGAGGGCCCTCAGGGGGGTAGATCACATATGCTCTCTGTAGGCGAGGAAGGGGGGAGGAGGGGAGGGGGGAAAATAGGGGGGTAGGGGGAGTGCACATGAGGGCGGGTGAGGGCCCTCAGGGGGGTAGATCACATATGCCCTCTGTGGGGGAAGAAGATGGGGAGAGGGGGAAGGCGGAATTGCGTGGGTGGGTGGAGGGAGAGTGGGGAGGGACGGATGAGACAGTGGATTTAGCGGGGTGTGCATGTGGGGAGGTACATAAGAAATTCGAGGGGTTGAAGGCCTTTTTTCTGGCCTCATAGAACAGGCAGTGGGCGGGGTACACATGAACGCCTCACGGTCACATGTCACGTGTCACATGACCCACGCCACGCACGTTTTCGCCTGAGGCACATGCACGCATACACGTTTTCGCCATGCACACACACATGTCTGCATCGTGCGCATGATGGTCTCACGTTGCGGATGATAGCCTCGAGGTTGTCGTGGTTGTTGGCAAATGTGACCATCATGGCGATGCGATGGGAATGATCTCACGCCGCCTCATGCACAACCCCAACACTCACTCACTCACGCACGCACATGTCGCATGATGCACCAATCCAACATTGACGCACGAGCATGTCTCACATAAAAGGGTCTCACGTTTCGGATAATAGCCTCGAGGTTGTCTTGGTTGTTGGCGAACGTGACCATCATGGCGATGGGGATACCCACGTAGCACACGAACTTAAACACCTCCAGAAACCCCTTGCGCGGCCCTTTGAACGACATCCCGATTCCCGACTAAAGCGCGCGCTCGCTCACACGCCGCTCCTTCTTGCCGCAAATCCAGCGCCGTTGCCCTCCGCGCTTCGCCCTTCCCTGCCGGATTTGACCCCTTTCTGCCGGGATCTGCTTCCTCTGCCGCAAAGCCCGCTGCCACCTGTCCTTTCCGCCTGAGCTTGCTTTTGGCGCCTGAATCTCCCTATGCGGCTGTGGCAGCTGAAAAGGCGGAAGCGGGGATAGCAGAAGCGGGGAAACCAGAAGCGGATAACAGCGGAGGGGTGAGGGTGGAAGCGGGGAAGGGCGAATGGGTGAAGGTGGAACCGGGGAAGGGCAAAGGGATGAAGGCGGAGGCGAGGAACGGCGAATGGGTGAAGGCGGAAGCGGGGAACGGCGAAGGGGCGAATGGGGAAGCGGGGAAGACGCGGAGGTCGAGGAGGACTCAAGGCGCGGAGTTGGAGAAACAGCAGCCCGGGCGGTGACGCAGCAACCCGCCGGTGGTGACGGCGGTGACGGCGGTGATGACGGCGGTGACGGCGGTGACGGCGGTGATGACGGCGGTGACGGCGGTGATGACGGCGGTGACGGCGGTGATGACGGCGGTGACGCTGGAGTCACTAACTCTAAAAAGAGGAAAAAAAAAGCTGTAATCGTCGACGAAGATAATGCGCGACGCCGGTAACGGAGGCGCCGCCGACACGCGAGGTGCCAACGGGCTACAGCGACGCGGAGGAAGGGAAGGAGGGACGGGAGGTGGACGAGGAAGGGGAGGAAGAGGCGACGACTGAGTCGGCGCGTGAGGCGGTGATGACGGCGGTGACGGCGGTGATGACGGCGGTGACGGCGGTGATGACGGCGGTGACGCTGGAGTCACTAACTCTAAAAAGAGGAAAAAAAAAGCTGTAATCGTCGACGAAGATAATGCGCGACGCCGGTAACGGAGGCGCCGCCGACACGCGAGGTGCCAACGGGCTACAGCGACGCGGAGGAAGGGAAGGAGGGACGGGAGGTGGACGAGGAAGGGGAGGAAGAGGCGACGACTGAGTCGGCGCGTGAGGCGGCTGAGAGAGAGGGAGAAAAGTGGGCAAAGCGGACGCGGCGGAGAAAGAGTTTCACCTCTTTCTGCGCGCGAGGGTGCGCGGCAACGTCCTTACGTCCATTCTTCGGAAGCTTCGACTCGCCACATGTCCCGCCCCTCTTCAGATGCACAGACGTGTCCATCTGTGAGGGACATTTGAGAAGTACGTGGAAAAAGGACCAGGCGAGTGTTGTACCCGCGCATCAAAACGAGAGATTGAAGGATTGTGCTACTGGTCCTACCGTTGGCCGCAACTTTAATAAATATAAAATAACAAAATAACCCTTTTTGTGTATGCTAAGGACGTGTGAGATTTTTTATGGAGTTCGTAATCAGGGTCAAACTTTTGGTGGTTACCCTTTTCGCCAATGTTCGCTAACCGCCTCGCCGAAGTCGAAACAAATTCCCCGTTTGGGAAGTGCGAACCCTCATTTGTGAACTTGATACAGAAAAATTCGTGAACTTGCACAAACACAAAGATCCAAACGTGTGTGGTGTCAGGCACGTACGAGGTTTCAGCGAACCTCGCGACTCATTCGTGCGCCAATGAGATCACAACCAAGACACAGCGCATTGCTGAACTCGCTATGGCCACCACGTGGCACAATTCGTGCCACGATGGCAGTGAGCATTGGAAGTACGAGGCATCGCAGGTAGCCTTGAAGCACAATCCCCAGGAAACGCACGAGCTGAATGAGAGTCATTGTGAGATGCTGACTTGGAAATTGGTTCATCTCGCCGATATTTGTATCGTGCACAACTGCCACAGATGTGAAGTTGAGCTGGAGGTCTAGGGCTCACTTTTTTTAGCAGCGCTCCGGTGACGTGTCGCGCTGTGGTGTGCTTGAAACCGGGTAACCTACAGTCTCCAATTGCGGCTCGGTTCCCCCTCTGTAAATTCGAACTTGCAAATTCGCACCTTGGTGTGTGATTGTGAGTATACAAGAATTTGCACTCGCGGTGCGAACCTTGCCACATCTCAAAATCGATTCAAGTTCAGGTTATAAAACCCTGCTTAAATCGAGTAAAAAACGTGAACTTTCATAAACCCTTGTTTCACACACGTCCTAAGAGCGGGCCCATCGCGTTCGTTTTTCCCAATTGTACAGTTCATCCGTCGTGGTGCAAAACGATCTCAACAGTTTACAGCGGTTTTCACGATTAACCGTTCTAAACCATGACAAAACTAGGGTAACATCTCAGAATGAACTGTAAATGAGCGCGCCGACCCCGTCCTGAGTCGAGTGGTTGTTCTGGAAGAATATATTGCACTGCCAGCTTCATGACCGCGGGCAAGAAAAAAACTAAAACCCACTCGGATGGCATGCCATCCGAGGGAGCCTCAACCCTAAAATGTTAGGGTTGAGGCTCCCGAATGGCATGCCGTAAGCCATGGGGTTTATTTTTTCTGCCCTCGGGCAGCTTGCTGACGCGGTCAGTAGCGCTACCGGGCGCTACCGACCGCTACCGGCCCCTAAAAGTGAACTTTTTTGGAGGTTCAATGTGCGACAGATTCCTGTTTTGCCCGTGAAGCAATTGCAAAAGAAATTGCTGGTACCCTAGATTTTTCGGAAGCTTAGATGGTTCACGCGGCTTGATGAGTCTTTCACTGAGTGGCTTTTTTTTATGAGCTCTATAGAAATATACAACTCTAACCCCTGTTCCTTAGATAGGATTACCATGCACAACAAGTTGCACTCTATTGATGCTGATCATACCGTAATTTGATATTAGGGTACATTCCGCTGTGGACACATGTCCCAATCGATGTGTCCCAATCGTTTCTACCGCACTGCATCGAATTACACCAAATTGCACCCTAGTTTCGATTTTTTCGCGTCTCTGGTTTAGTTCGGTTCGGAGCGGTACACTCGATTGGGACACATCGATTGGGACATGTGTCCACAGCGGAATGTACCCTTATTATATTTCCTTGATTTATTACAGCTACCGTATAAGTTTAGAACATGAAACATACGATATGGTGAATGAGCTTCTAGCAGTTGAGTGAGCATGGTGAGCATGATAAGCATGGTGAGCATGGTGCGCATCCCACGACGATGAATCCATCGTTTCAACTACCTAGTTTAATTTGACTGACGCAGACAGATCACCCTCTGCTGCCATGGATACCCATCTTCTTGAGCAGCGTGCATGGCGTTGAGGGAGAAATTTCGGGACAAGGGCTCAGCGGAGAGCATGAGGGGCGATTAAAGCATGGGAACATGAAAGTATGAGGCGGGCGTGCGAATGCTGGCATATGGGCATGAGATAGTGAGAGCACGCACACAAACACCACTTGCAGGGTGGCATGGAAACTATAACGCAGGCGGTAAAACGGTGAAGAGGGAAAAGGGGAAACAGAGGGTGTGGTGCAGGACTGAGCAGGGATGGGAGGAGACGAGAGAGGCGGAAAAGTGGAGAGGGGCAGAGAGGGGCGGGAGGAGTGAGGCAGAAAGGGTTGTGATGTCATGTAGGATGCAGAAAGGGAAACGAGGACGGGACATACCATAGGTAGGAGGGACAACTTACGTGGAGAAGGGCGGAGCGAGATGGAAGGAGAGAGGAAGGGAGAAGTGCAGGTTCTAGGGCAGAGGAGATATAGACAGGTGGGGAGGGAAGGAGAGAGGTGGGGAGGGAAGTGTGGCAAAAGGTGACTTTTGAGTCGACTCAAAAGTCACAGGCAGAGGGGATATAGACAGGGACAGGGAGGGAGGGAAGGAGAGAGGTGGGGAGGGAAGTGTGGCAAAAGGGCAGAGGGGCTTGGAGAGGGGAAAGGAAGGACGGAAAGAGGGGGAAGGAAGGACGGAAAGAGGGGGAAGGAAGGACGGAAAGAGGGGGGAAGGAAGGACTGAAAGAGGGGGGAAGGAAGGACGGAAAGAGGGGGGAAAGGAAGGACGGAAAGAGGGGGGGAAGGAAGGACGGAAATATGGGGGGAAGGAAGGAAGGAAGAGGGGGGGGGGAAGGGCGGTGACAGGGCAGAGGGGGCAATAGGCGAGGGGGGAAGGATGGAGAGAGGTGGGGATGGAAGGGTGGGTTCATGAGCAGAGGGGGAGACGGGCCGGGGAGGAAGGGGAAAGAGAGAAGGGCGGGTTTAAGCACACAGGGGGAGATAGGCGGGGAGGGAAGGAAGGAGAGAGGAATGGAGGGAAGGGCGGGTTTAAGCACACAGGGGGAGATAGGCGGGGAGGGAAGGAAGGAGAGAGGACTGGAGGGAAGGGCGGGTTTAAGCACACAGGGGGAGATAGGCAGGAAGGGAAGGAAGGAGAGAGGACTGGAGGGAAGGGCGGGTTTAAGCACACAGGGGGAGATAGGCGGGGAGGGAAGGAAGGAGAGAGGACTGGAGGGAAGGGATGGTTTAAGCACACAGGGGGAGATAGGCGGGGAGAGGCGGCAAGGGGATGCGGAGGGAAAGGCAAGGGCGAAACGGACGGAAGCGCAGGGGGGAAATGGTGAAAAAGGCAATGGGTTAAGTGGGAGGAAATGGGCAAGGGAGAACGAAGGGAAGGGCAAGAAGGAACGGGAATGGAGGACAAGGAGGGAAACGGGGGGAAAAGGGCAAGGGGGGAATGGAACGAAGGAGAAAGTGGGATCAAAGAGAAGGGCTAGGGGTGACCGAAATGATGGCAATGGGGGGCACCGTGGGAAATAAGAGGGAAGGACATGCGGTAGATGGGGCATAGGTTAAAGGGGAAACAGAGGATAGGGCAAGGGGGGAATGGAGGAATGGACAAAGGGGGAAACGGAGGAAGGGCAAGGGAGGGATGGGAGAGGCGGAAAAGGGATGGATTGGAGTAGGAAAGAGAGGACGGGATGGGGATTGAGGGAGGTTCAGGAGAGCGGTGAGAGAGGGGCAGAAGACTGGGAAAGGGGAGGGACGGGAGGGTTGGGACAAAGGGACAACGGGACGATTATGGAAAAGAAGCACACATGGAAAAGGGGAGCAGTGTATAGAGAAAAGCGACTCGTTAGAAGATGAGAAGTGGGCTGCAGAGGTCTTACCTTGATCAGCTAAGAGGGAGTGTGTGTTCTAGGAGCAGCAAGTAGGGACTGGGGCTTTGCATAGGAAAGGGGGAATCCAGCGTGCAGGGAAGGAGGAGCAGTGCAAGGGGGGAGTGGGGAAGCAGAGAGTAGGGAAGGGTTAGTAGTGCAAGGGGGAGTGGAGAAGCAACGCGTAGAGAGAGCAATGAATAGTAAGCATTTGCCTTGATTACAATGGATAAATAAGTAGAACTCTATGCACACGCATACATACTCCTAGCAATAATCATATCCTCATCCATAACCCCATTCTGCATCATCCCATTCTGCACCATCACTCGCTGCATCATCGTCGCATTCTCCATTATCATCACATGTATCATCACATGTATCATCACATGCATCATCACATGCATCATCACAAGCATCATCACCAGCACTAATAACACTCTCGTCCTCCTCGCCACCAACCACAGCAAGTTGCCACTCTCTGAAGAAACCATTCCACGGCAAAACATGCTCCGCGGTCCTTCGACCAGTCACCACCAGCCGTGGCAGCAGCATCCCAACCTCCCTGCCAGCACGCCTCAACTCCCTCCACTTCCTAAACTCCACACTACCGTTATCGAAACAAGCTTCTCCACTCCCTTCACCCCTTCCCATGTCACCCTCGCTTCCACCTTCCCTGCTTCCACCTTCCTTGCTTCCCCTCCACCGATCCCCAGCAATCACTCCAGGAGAAACCACCAGCCGCCGCAGCCTGAAATCCTGCAGCCCAAAGCACCCACTCCACCTCATCCTTTCCTCCTCATGCCCCAAACCCTCGCCTGCAATTTCCTCCTGCTCCTCACACCCCCCATCCACCGCCACCACTTCAGCCAACCCAGTTTCCCTGCTCTTCTCCCTGTTGCCAGCAAGCTCCCTGGCAACTGCTGAGAGGGCGAGCAGGAGGGTAGACGACACCCCCGGGCATCCATACAGGTCCAGCAGAACCAGCTGCGGCAGCTGCAGCTGCAGTGGCGCACCGGAAGCACTGCCTACACCAGCAGCAGCGTCAGGAGAAGATGAAATCTCAGGAGGAGGCTCAGGAGCACTGCCTGCTGCACCAGTAGCAGCGTCATCGGGTCCAGGTGAAATTTCAGGGGTACGCTCAGGTGAAATTTCAACGACAGCACTGCCAACAGCAGCATTCACTGCCCCACCCACGCTGCCGCCGCGCCAACTGTCGCCGAACAGGGCCGCCACGATAGCAGCATCGTCCACCGCCGTCCGCGCCAGCCGCAGCACCCCCAGCCGCCCGCATCGCCTCGCCAGCTGGCGCAGCCCCACTGGCCCCACGTTCTCACAGCCACCCAGACTTAGCTGCACCAATCGCGTGCATCCGTTCACGAGTTGCCACGTGGACAGGGAGGAAGTGTGGGCGTGAAAGGAGCGCAGAGAGGAGGAGGAGGACGCAGGTGAGAGGCACTGGCTGCCACCATTGCCGCCGCCGCCGCCGCTGCTGCTGCAAGTGATGCTGCTGCTGGTGTTGGTGTTGGTGCTGCTGGTCTGTGCTCCAGTGGCGACGCTTTTAGCAGAGAGGGCGAGCAGGAGGGAGGAGGCGGGAAGCAGATCCCAGGCCACGGAGTGATGGGGGAACGGAGTGATGGGGGAACCGAGTGATGGGGGAACGGAGTGATGGGGGAACGGAGTGATGGGGGAACGGAGTGATGGGGGAACGGAGTGATGGGGGAACAGAGTGATGGGGGAACAGAGTGATGGGGGAACGGAGTGATGGGGGAACGGAGTGATGGGGGAACGGAGTGATGGGGGAACGGAGTGATGGGGGAACGGAGTGATGGGGGAACGGAGTGATGGGGGGTGATATATAGACGGATGGAGGAGAGGCACGGCGCCAGGGGGGTAGCTGAGCCTAACGCGCATGAGAAAGGGTTGTCAGCATCCTTGGGTGCTTCGGCGAGCAAGGAGAGGTGAGCCAGAAGAGCAGCCGCCGCATCGGCTGCATTGGCTGCATCGGCTGACTTTTGAGATGTCTCTACAGCCGCCGCAGCATTATCAGCTGCATCAGCTGACCTCCTCGCCCGTCCTACTCCGCGGCGCTCTGTCGTTGCGTGTGCCGCCTCCCACTGCTTGTACTCCGGAAGGGGCGCGAGGCGGTATGACACGAGAGAGAGGCGCTGTAGCGACGGGAGGAGTGCGAGGAGGCGAAGCGAAAGAGCGTCTCCCAGGTGACAGAATCCGCGCAGAGCGCGAGGGCTGTCAGGCGCGGAAGCTTGCTGGCCATGTGCTCTATGGACTCAGCGGTGTAGTCCCCTGGCACGTTGATGTTTAAGGCGCGGAGATTAGGGAGCGCGGCGGCGATTGAAAGCAGGTGGCGGGCGGAGAGGAAGTCGGGCTGCCGATGGGGCGCGCACAACGGGGGAGGCCGCGGCGGGGGGGGGGATCCAATTAGGAGGCGGCAGGGGAGGTGGAGGACAACGCGGAGGGGATGGGAGGGGCGGAGGGGGTGGAGGAACACGCGGAAGGGGAGGGGGTGGCGGAGGAGGCGCAAGAACACGCGGAGGGGGAGGGGGGTGGCGGAGGAGGGGGCGCAGGAACACGCGGAGGGGGAGAGGGGGGCGGAGGGGGCGCATGAACACGTGGCGGGGGAGGGGGGGGCGGAGGGAGCGCATGAACACATGGCGGGGGAGGGGGTGGCGGAGGAGGGGCCGCAGGAACACGCGGAGGGGGAGAGCGGGGAGGAGGAGGCGCGGGAACACGCGGAGGGGGAGGGGGTGGCGGAGGGGGAGGCGCAGGAACACGCGGAGGGGGAGGGGGTGGCGGAGGGGGCGAAGGAGCACGCGGAGGGGGAGAGGGGGGTGGAGATGGCGCAGGAACACGCGGAGGGGGAGGGGGTGGCGGAGGAGGAGGGGGTGGCGGAGGGGTAAGTGCAGGAACACACGGAGGCGGAGGGGTTTGCGGAGTGGGGGTGGACGATCCCGGCTCGGGGAATTGAGTGGCGTCACCATGACCCCACACCAGATCGGATCTCCTAGATTGAGTCCTCTCAGCTATCTCCTCCTCATTGAACGCTTCCGAATCGCCTTCAGCGAGCGCGAGCGGGTTTACGCACGTCACCGGGCAGAGAAAGTGGTCGGAGCGCACACTCAGCGACTTGAGCTGACGTGGCACGGCTGGTAACAGCACCCTCTCGAAGTCTGGTTTGAGCATGGGTAGCGAATCCAGTAGCCGGCAGCTGTACTCCACGCAACTGACCAGAGTCAGGGTTTCGATCCTCGGTGCCTGTCCAAGGATTCGCGCGATGCCGTGGCACGTCAGCCTGTCGTCATCAGATTCCGTTAAGTTTCGTGCGCCGGGACGGAACTCCAGGGACCGGAGCGTGTCGGCGAATCGCATAGTTAAATCGAGCATCTGCGATTCGGAGTCGGAACAACCAAGGATGCGCTCCGATCCCAGAGCTATGCTCTCGAGCAGGAAGGGTGACGGTCGGAGCGATTGCACAGACACGCGCAGCGCGATGCGGCACCAGCGGCGGCAGACGAAGGCGGCCGAGGAGATGGCGAAGCGCGAGGGGAGGAAGGAGAGGACTCTGGAGAGAATGTTGTCGTCTACTAGTGACGTGAGGGAATTCCATTCCGCTGAAAACTCTCCGCGATCACAGTCGGCGCTATCGATGTGCAACAGCTTTCCCATGGCAATGGGAGCTGTCAGTAACCAGCCACGACACCGTCACGCTATCACGAGAGAGGCGAAATGCCGCGGATATGTTACCGAACAGTTCAGATCGAGGAATCAACTGCAGAATAAACGCACTGGATTCTAAACCGAGCCAAGAAAAACTATAAGGCACTGAGGATGATTGGGGAGCACGTCAATTCCCGATTTTGACGAAAAGACTGCAGTTCGAGGTGCGGGAAAGGAGCATGAGCCTGTTGAGATACTCTTGGCTCATTAGGGCGATGTTCGGCTGGCGGGAATAACATGTGGAAGTGATGAGAGAGCGAGGGAGGGAGGGAGAGAGAGTCGGACCTTGCGCCCCTAGTTCGCGCTGGTCAACTTAGGAGTCAAATTTTGCATGATTCATGCGCGAGCGGAAATGTCAGGCAGTGGGGAAAGGAAAGGCGCGAAAGTGCAGACTCGGGGGATGCGGGGGTGGGGTTGAAACAGAAGCGCAGTGAGCAGATTGACGCGACAACACATATCGGGGGTAGTAGCCCGTTTTTTTCCAGCCCAAGAACACATATTTTTCTGCCCCGAGTCGAAGGGGAAATATTCCCAGTGGTTGGGCAGCACGACTCGGGCAGATCAGTTGTCCTCAGCTTTGCCTCCTTGATCAGCCACCAGACCAACCATAGTGGTCCCGCACCGGACATTTCTGCCCCCTGCCTGACAGCCTTCCTGCCCGCCTGCATTCTTGCTGGATCCATGAGACTGTACATCTGATTATTGTTTGAGTCACCCCATGGGTGCCTTGTCAAGAGGGCGCTAAAGTGGTTCTTGAAAATCGTAAGGGTTTCGTTAATTCGCAGCTAGAAAAAAGGATCGTTCGTGCCTTTTTTTTTTTTTGGTAATTGATATATGCACCAAGTACAGCAGATGTATATAGCAATAACAGTCGTAACTGTGCGTGAGAGGTAGCTACGTGGCTACCCCAGATTGACAACTATGGTGGTCTGTGATTTTTCCTCGGCAGCTGCCAGATGGCAGCAAACGCACTATTCCACTTCCACTTCTTGCTGCTACTGTCCCTCAGTTTATCTACCAATCTTATCTCCTCCTCTCTTGCGCGCTGAAACGATCCCTTCTTGTCCGTAGCCACCCGCCTCCTGCGTACATCCTCCTTTGCCCGCATGTACACCCTTGCATGCTGCCGGAAAGCCAGCTCAATCCACCTCAACACCCGTTTTGTCCTGAACCTTCGCCCTCTGAAAGCAACTTGACAGCGCTCCAACCACACCTGATGGAGTGTGATGGCAATTATTGTCGCTTCTGGAAACGCTGAGCTGGAGCATGGCTTCTGGAAGAGAAGGTCCCCTAACGACGAAATCGACCTCGAGCTGTTTATCATACGAAGAGCCCGCTTGAGTGCTGTAATCACCGTCTGGACTTTGGGGCAGTCGTAAAGGCAGTGTTCCAAAGTCTCCTCTCCCCCACAATGCGGACATTTCGGTTGTCCACTCAGAAATGACAGTCGTTCCCCCACCTGTAGGTTAAGGTTATGCACCCTTAGCAAAACATCCCTTGGCCTGCTTGGAGTAGCCAGGGATTCTCTGACCGAGATTGCCCTTTTCCAGTCAATCTTCCCGTTCCACCTGCCCGACCATTGTTGCTGCTTCACTGATGCCTTCTGCCCTTTCTTCCACAGCTTTTCCAGCCGCCTCATCGGCACCACCTTCCCCTTCTCAAAGATCGGTAGAAGCGTGAAGTCTCTCTCAGGCGGGATGTATCTCCTGCGATGAGAACCAGCCGTACTAGGGTTTGATTGCTCTCTGTAGGAACCGTCTAGCAGCAGAGCCCGCCATGTCTCAGGTGCCGCTTCGAAAGCCTTCAACGCCAGCCTAGCTGGCCCTTTCCCCCCCAGCTCCTTCTTCAGTGACTCCACCCCTCTTAGTGTGGGAACTCCTTCCTTGTCATAGCTGATCAAGTGTCCCAGCCTTATCTCCCACAGTGGTTTGGCGTCCTTCTGTTCTCCAACCGGTGTGGTCCCCCTGAGAAGGATACGCTTGTTAAACATTATCCGCTCTCCCTCCGCAGCTTCTCAAGTAACGATCTCCGGAAATTCCCCCAGTGGCAACTTCATAAAATTTTCGCACGCGATTTTCCACCGAGCACTACGTCCTTCCCATCGCCGTAGTAGTTTTTCATGTGCGAAGAAGGACTCAATGCTCATAGGAAGCCCAGCCGCCCACATCATGATCTCTTTCTTGAGCACGTTCCTCTCCGTGATCAGTAGCCCCACCCTCCTTGCCGAGAGGCAAGCAAGGATCATCTCCGGGTCACATACTCCAACTCCCCCATCCTCCCTTGACGTGTGTAGAAGATCCTTACTCCACAACCTGAACACCCTGTCAGCCGTTGCCTTGTTCCCGGATACAAAGTTATGGAACGTCTTGGAGAGCGCATTCCAGGTTACTCGCGGTGGCGGATATACTTGCGCCTGGAACGCCACCACCGACATAGAGTAGTCATTCACCACTCCCGCTCTCGCCTTCGTCGGAAGATATTTTTTCTCCCATGTTTTAAGTTTTCCGACCACGCTTGCCCCCGCCTTCTCCCACGTTGGCTGACAACTTCCTGTCGGTGTTGTCCAAATCCCCAGCAGTCTCTCTGCCTCATCCGCTCCCGCTCATCGGAAGCTCTGTGGTCTGCATGAGTGCCTGCGCAGGTTATCGCCCAGCGGCAGGATGACTGACTTTTCCACATTCGTCTCCAACCCCGAGGTAAGCTTAAACCTCTCCAGTACCTTCTCCGCCTTAATGATTTGCTCCTTCCCCTCCAGTATCAGTGTGGTGTCGTCGGCGTACCCGATATACGAGAGACGCTCGTCCGCCTTACTGATCCCCAGCTTTTTCCGCCACACCTCTTGCGCCAACGGTTCTACTGCGCAGAGGAACAGGTATGGAGCAAGCGGGCATCCCTGCCTTACCCCAGATAGTACTTCCACTCCATCTCCGAACCATCCATTTATTAACAGCCGCGTTTGTGTTCCCTTGTGCACAGCCAACCAGCCGCTCCGGGAAACCCATCTCCCTCAAGATTCTGAAGGTGTAGTCCCTCGACACCGAATCATATGCCTTCTTGAAGTCAACGAGTAACAGAAACCAGTCCTTATTCTTGTTCCGAGCCGCATCAATCAAATCGGCGATCAATCCCACTGCGTCCGTGAGTCGTCTCCCCGGCAGGAAACCGTACTGCTCCTCTGAAATCACCTTTCCCAGCACCTTCTTCATTCTGTCAGCAATCACCCTCGCCAGCACTTTGTAAGTGAAGTTTAGAAGAGTTATCGGTCGATAGTTATTCAACTGATCCTTGTCCCCCTTCTTGTGCAGGAGTATCGTAACAGCTTCTTTGACATATTTGGAGAGGGAAGCAGAAGCCGCGAAGTCCTTCGCCATTGCTATAAAACCTTTACCCAGCAGGTCCCAGTGCGTTTCAAACAGTTCTTTCGGCAACCCATCCTTTCCAGGCGATTTGTTAGCCGCCATCACTCCAAAGGCTGCCTTAACCTCTTCTTCTGTCGAGTCAGCTGCTAGCTCCTCTGCTTCCTACTTCTCCAGCTTTTTCCCTTTTATCGACTTCCAGTTCTCCTTAAGCCGGCATCAGTCTTCTCCGGAAATACCCGCGAAGAAAGCTGATGCTGCCTCCAAGATCCCTTTAGAGTCCGAGACTGCGCCGCTCGCTGTCTGTAACTCCGCGATTTGCGTGCTTTCCTTCCTCGCCTTTACCATTGCTGACAGATGCGGGGACGGCATTTCACCGGTAAGCTCCACCCGTAGTCCCGTCATCAGCTTCACCCGGTCCTTCTTAGCCGCATGGTACTCTTTAAGCTGCACCTCTTTCTCTGCTAACAGCATCGTCGTACGTTAGCAGGTCGGATTTCGTTGGTGCTTTTAAACATTTGTAACTAATCTGCTGACAGTTTGACTTCAGTCTCTTCATTACTAATGGTTCAGAATTACTGCAACTTGCGCGGGCTGTTTATAACGTGGGCGCATTTGGCTGGTAGGTGCAGACTTTTGTCAAATATTATAGCCTGTAGTGGGTTGGGCTATATGGGGTACAACTAGTTAGGGTTAGGTGATGTACCCCAATTCTGTCAACACAACGCATTCCGCTGTAGTTCTCATTCTGACATGGTATCAGTAGTAGGTTAGCGCTCCTAGTCCTAGGCCCGCCCTTCCCTACCACTAGGGTTACCACTGCACCCTGCCAGCCCGCCAGCGCCCTACCCCACGCCCCAGCCGGCGCGCCCCTCCCCTCCCCGCCCTTAGCCAGCGCGCCTGCCAGCCAGCCAGCGCGCCAGCAGCCTGCGCGCCAGCCAGCCAGCCAGCGCGCCAGCCAGCCAGCGCGCCAGCAGCCTGCGCGCCAGCCAGCCAACGCGCCAGCCCGCCAGCGCGCCAGCCAGCCAGCGCGCCAGCGCGCCAGCCAACTAGCGCGCCAGCGCGCCAGCCAGCCTGCGCGCCAGCCCGCTTGCACGCCAGCCCGCCAGCGCGCCCGCCAGCGGGCGCACCAGCGAGCCCGCCGGCTCGCCTGCCAGCGCGCCCGCCAGCGAGCTCGCCAGCGCGCCCGCCAGCACGCACGCCAGCGCGCCCGCTAGCGCGCCCGCCAGCGCGCCACGCCAGCGGGCCCCACCAGCGCGCACGCCAGCGCGCCGCGCCCGCCAGCGCGCGCCCTGCTTAGCCGCCCGCCAG